ATCATTAGCAACAGTGACTTTTGAATTAAAATGGCATTTCAAGGTCAGAAATATATAATTCTTCACCATTATTGTTTTTAATAAAAATGGCCACACCCAAATAGACTATCATACATATCAATATCAAATATGCCTCCTATTTCATATACTCACTGCTATTATTCGAAAAACATGATTTTTTTCAAACTCATATTTTTGACGGTTGCACCTTGGGGCAAGCCGTTTAGCCCTTTCGTGTCACCTTTTTAACTGCAGACAAGTGAAAATGAAAAGTCAATGAACCAATCTATAATGACTATGGGCCACTTCTTAGTAATCTACCTCAACATCGGTTTAGACTAACTAAGCCACTTTGGAAGCGATTTGGCGCATACTAAATAGCAACTCAGTACACTAGCGGGCATTTTTAAAGATTTTTAACGTATTCCTGAGCCTCAGCCAAAATGTACTACCTTCCCATTTAGTAAAGGTAGTACATTTTGGCTGAGTGTCAATAATGGCCCAAAATCAAAAGAATTACAATCCCTTTGATCAATAATATTAAGACTTAATCACTAGAGTTTAGATTACCCGGATTAATGATTGAGTTAGTTCAAAGTTTTCATTTGCCTGTGTTACCTATCCGTTATTCCCGACAATCAAAATTCATATCAAACATTCACATTATAGTTTAAAATAAATGCAACAATTTACCATTTAAGATTTCCGACGATATAGTCTTCGATAAAACCCCAGAGGCGTAGCCAGCTTTCAGTCGGGGGGGGGGGTGGCTGCGATCTTAGCAACCTTAGGCATGGGTTGGGATTGTCTAATTTTCGGAAGACCCCGGATCATCACGCAAAGAAATAACAATTATTACGCACAACTTAAAAGCTGCTTCAAATTCGGTGAAATAAACCAACTGTCTTAATACTAACAAATTGATTTAGTTTTGCAATATTTCGATCAATTCTTTTTCAAGCAACTGAAAATTGTTCCTATGATTATAATTATATTGCTGAAGGACCTGGAAATACGGTCTAGTCATCTAAGGAGAGCAGTCTTCGGAGCGCCCCGAAACCCGAGGAGGTAGAAGTACTGATGATGCGACTAGTTCACTTTATTGACCCTCCAACCCTCATTACCATTTTCGATGTTTTGTAGCATAGCATCATGTCAACGATGTTTATTAAAACCAATGAATGTGTTCAATCACTTTAACATAACATAGTTATTTTTCATTTAAACATTAAAAATAACTACTTATTGTGTAAAAACTGATGAAAACAAATTTTCTTTCAAATCTGTGCGCCTTCGTTTTGTTTTATTTCATACAAATTTCTTGCCCGGAGCTGATTAGTCCCCAAGACCAAATATGAAATAATATAATAGAAACATTTTAAAATGAGTTATTATTAAAAGCAGACATCATTTATAAACACAAGCATCTTAATGTGTATAGCATTTATTATCCATCATTTCAATTTCTTTTATATTAAAACTTTTAATGGAATTAAAATGCGAAATTGTATAAAAAGATATTATTGGATTACAGTTTAGACAAACGCAAACTTCGGCGTGACATTCCGATGTGACTGCTATACCACTGAATGTACAGTGATCGCTTACTATTAAAAGTGCGTGATCAAAGGCTCGACAAGAAACGCAAAATCCAAAATGTCGGAGGAAAGGTATGTTTGTTTCTCTTCTCTTTACCACTTTAATGTCATTTTACCTACAGATGGAATTCCATATGCTGTATAAGAGACATAAGATTCATTTGGTAACAGGATTCAGTGATTGACTCAACCGAAATACCTGAACTGAGTTGATAAAAGAAGCAAAATCAAAAACCCGCCGAACGGAAATGTGTATTTCACAAAATTTTCTGTTTTTAGATTGCAAAACCACAAAACCAATATATCAATGGCTAATATACATAATACTTAACATTACGTGCATATCAGACGTTCCAACTCCCTTCAGTGTAAGGAGGATGTTATAAAAAATGCATGATCAGCCAAGTGAGTGAATTTACCATGTGGATTCTAATGATATGTTCTTTGCATTTCAGAGTGGTTGGATTTATACATGTTTTTACTGTCCTTCACTACGAACTCTTAAATTTCAAAACATTATAAATCACCTTATAGAACATCATGAAGAAGAAGAGATGAAGATGAGAAAGATTATTGAAAATGGAGGCAAATTTAGAATGAAAACAAGAAATTTCTCTGGAATAATACCAAATGAAAGTAAAGATTTGGTTTTAATTATAAATCAAACAAATCGTTAGTGTCCATATGACCAAAAGCCTAAACTGGAACTTTTCCTCGGTCCCATCCACATAACGCTGTCATTAGAGATAATAGCATGGTATTTATTTCACACTTTGTTTCTCTAAAAACGCCCACTGGTCGTTTATTTTGCATTCGATTACACACAGTTCTAAAATTTTCAAGCTAATCACCCAAACACCTTAGTTGAAAATTGATCAATAAATCTTCTGAATATTGAACTATAGAGGAGCTTTCCCTTATACCTGTCATTTATATATGACCCAAGTTAGACACCTTGTGGTGAAAATGGGAACTGACTACTGGCGTCTACTGAAGGTTATTACGTCATTACATTTTTATTTAACTTATTGATACCTTGCAAAAGAATGATTTAACTCCCGAATTTAATAGATAATGTACAATTCAGATTTTATGAGTTCATTATGAGACCCAATCTCCATAACAAGCACAATCATAACAATGGGTGATACAGTGACATACAATTTCATTTATGATTTATTCAATTATTGCATTACAATTCGACAATCATCTTGGATGCCAAGGTGTAAAGTTTTCATACCTTGGAATCCGAGGATAAAATAAATGGACTGAAATGGGACTTTAAAATGCCGTAGTCAGCTATTGGCGGTTGTTAGCCCTATCGGCAAAAAGTATTGTTATATAACATTATGTAATTTATAATAAAATTACGTCATTATATTATATAGCCAACTACAAACCTATTAAGTTTTGTTCCTTTTACTTTTGCCTACCTAAGAGCGCATGTACCCAGAAAACTACAGCTTCATAAATATATTTTTCAAAAGCATATGGGTGTTCTTGTGCCTACAGAACCTTTTTGAATCACCAACAGTCTGTAATATAAACACAAGTAAATCTTTTAAAAATAACCGTTACAAATTATTTGGATTTTGCGCATCTTGTCGAGTCTTTGATCACGCACTTTTAATAGTAGGCGATCACTGTACATACAGTGACTGTATACTCAGGCCGTAGCCAAGATTTCTCAAAGGAGTTCTACTTTTGCTAAATTTCAATGGACATTTGTAATGCGCGTGCTCCCTAATTCACGTGTACACCTCCATATACAGGTTGACCCAGAAAAAAATATCCTCTCATTTTAGTATAAACTCAAATATCATTTTTTTAATTTATCTGCGTAGAAAGAAAGAACTTGGGTATTTTCAGCACAATAGCGGGTGTTCTTTGTTGTAAGGCATTGCAATTTGAAAAGGTTTCATTGTAGAGCCTACTTGAATACGGAGTACAATAAATATCGTGTTATTATAATTTGGTCGTTTTGGAATTTCAGCCTATGTTTCATTTTATTACATTACTAATTCTCATCTGTCACTTCTATCGCCATAAAGACTTTTTGTGCGCCATGATTAAATAAATATTACATTCTTCGATACAGTAACTAAATGTAAGTTCATAAGGTCATTATGAATGAACACTCCTCTATTATAAATGAAATGCCAAATACAATCTTCTGATTTGGAGTGTTCTAGAAAAATCATAATCTCAGTACTAAATTGTGGAAATTGCATGTTTCAGAATTTGACATATCTTTATGTGAACTCTAAAGTCTATCTCAATAAATTAGAAATGAGGATTTCTCCCTAAAGTAGCTCGTTTTTAAAAATATGCATATGTTCCTTAAAGATGTGTTAGGATTTGCCCTTAGACTTAGCTCAATATATGTTATTTCTTGATTTGACCCCTCGCTTTTTTGTTAGGATACTTATTTAACTCTCAGCAGGGGGTTCATTAAGAATCAAAACTCAAAAGGTGCATATATCTATTAAATATAATTACTATGAAAACGGTATTTCACAAACATTTTGGCAAGGGACTAAAAGGGCATATACCGTGACTCATTCTTTTGCATGTTTAGCGTAAGCACTCAGGCCAGTTAACTGACTAAAGTCAGGGCAGTTAAGGCCATAAGAAGTAGATTCTTTGTTTTACGTCCTGGCAGAAACCAAATCATTCAAGGAACAAGGAAAACAAACACAAACTCAAAAAAAAAACTTGTTTGCTGAGAAATGAATACATTTCAAGGGCATACAAATGGATGACAAACCAATTTGTAGTGATTACAAACACGTATCTATACATATCTATACATTTTTTATAATATATACATATAGCTATTATTCAAGGGTAAAAAAAGAAAATAAACAATGTATGCCAAAGTAATCAAATTATGAAGCTTATCAAATTATCCGCTATTTCGTCTGATTCTGATTGAAAGAAACGCAATGGTACTTTCAGACCCTTATGATTGCTATTTGGATGTGTTTTTTTTCTGATTTATTCAAAATCGTGCAAGCAAGGGGACACAAAACAAAGACTCTACTTCATATGGCCTAACTGCCTATGCTTATTTTCATGAGATCAATACACACTACTATACCCCCATACTGTATCCTGTATTCCTTTAAAAGAAGTACAGGCTACAGGGAAGTTGCAAATGGAGGACGTTTGTTTATTTCTATAGTTCTGAATGTATACTAGATTTTACACATATTCTAAGTGTTCTACTATACATTGTATAGATTCATCGAGCAGTTTGCAACGTATTATTACCAGAAAAGCCCAATGGACAAAGATAGAGAATACCCGCTCCATTTGCAACTTAACCGTACCCTGTATCATTTTTAAATGTGGTCACGTGGTAGGGTAGTGTGCAATAGACGACTACTGCAACGTACGCTTTTGTCCAAGTTGAATGCGCTTCACTTGTCGAATATAAGGTTGTTTGGTACTTAAAGCGTATCTGTATTTTTATGTATACGCCTCTGTGCACACAAAAAGGCAAAGCGATATATTGGCGAGCTGTTTTGTTTTTTGTCAGATGCGTTTTGGCGATCACTCGAAGATGGAAGGCTTTACGTGGAAACTCGCTGTCTTTGCCCTGTTAGTTATTGGATCATCCGCTAATGAAGGTATGTTCTTTAATTGGTGACATCGTAAACTATATATTTTGAAATGCATTACTGATTCCAAAATGAACAAGGAATGCATTAATTACTATTTAAATTTCGTCTTCATACAGTCAAAACAGTAATGTTTGGGAGTACTTTGAATTAAAAAATAAGCAATCAAATGACCAAATTGAAACAGTTTATGTAGAGATAGAAACATTTGTATTTATCCTAAGTTTTGTATATTTCAGATAGTAATGTATAAGGTGCAGCAAAGCTGTGTCCTTTTGTAATTTAGGGAGTTTCAGCCATGTTAATTTTTCTGAAAATAACATGGCAGAGAAGTATCAAAATATAAGAGGAAACAGATATGATAGCTAAACTAGGAAACAAACTAAAATATACAAAAGTTAGCATAAATATAAATGTTTCTATTTTTACATAAACTGTTTCAATTTGGTCATTTGATTGCTTATTGTTTAAATTCAAAGTACTCCCAAACACTTCTGTTTTGACTATACTAATCCATTATGCCTTCGGTCTGATAATGCCCTGGTCACATTTGCTCCGATTTTCACTACGTCACCCGGCCGATTGAGTATTTTGTTCAAAATTGAATACAATACTGAGCAAAACACTCAATCGGTCGGGCGCCGGCCGATGGATCGTAGCAAATGTGACCCAGGCATAAATACTTTTGCTTTTAAATTCACTGAAAAGTTAAAATGCTCTCTTGATATTTTGCTGTATAAAGTATAATATAATGAAACATGATATTCAATAATATTTTATTTATTCTTATATCAACAAAGTGCAAACTAGTTTTTTAATCAAACCTACAGTAAATATGCATTTTAAGATTATTATCAATTAAACGTAAATATGGCCAACGTACAATTTTATATATCTGATGAAGCGATCGCTAAATTCATAATTTCGAACAAAAAATCCTGTCTACTTTAGCATGCGACATCTATTATATATGTGCACGTCATTTACCAGATGTAGTAATTCCCCTTAATAACATTTTCAATCGGAAGTGTTCCCTGGATATCATGTAAAAGCATGTTCAAGTTTCAATTCTAATTAGGTTCTTTAATATAACAATAGAATGAAAATATGTATGTTAAAATTGATGAATAGTTTTAATCGCCAATCACTAACAGTCTTTGATACGTGACCCAAAATGGATCTTCGGGTTGCCAAACTTATGTGAGGGGGGCTAGGCGATTGGGCGCCGTAACCACGAGGTTGCGAGTTCGAGACGCGTGTGCTCCTTGTGTTTATTCATTTATGAAATTTAACATTTTCTTCAGATTGCAAGGATGATTATCTCTCTTGCGTCGTTTCTAAGGCCAAGGGTAATCTTTATTGCGAACCTTACTCGATGAAATATTGTAAAAGGAGCTGCAACGAATGCCAAGCCAGCGAGTATATATCCACTGGTAAGTAAAACGTTATGATCCTATTTCAATTGTTGAATTGAAACGTTCTACTTAAAATAACCCCAACAAGTTCACAATTGGGTAATGGATCAAGTCCACGGAAAATTTGAAATGGGTATCTTCCTAAAACTACTATATTAAATCAAGTATCGAACAGTATCGAAAGTGTAGAAAGTGTAGAAAATGATCATGTACTTCACAGGGATATTGGGCAATTCATTGTTAAAGTATTTGAGAAAGGAAAATATTAAGATTATCATTAAATATATTGAAGGCGCGAAACAATACTAGTATACTACGAGATATGTTCCAGCCAAATAAACAAGATTTTTACCTTTACTAGTAAACCAAAAAGGATGTGGTCCCTCAGTCAAATGTATGTGAAATATGTTTTTTTTATTACTGTCCTAGTTATATTTGACAAGTATATTTACTTTTTTACAGTTTTGATGCATAATTAACCCCCTGCTGAGAGTCAGAATAAGTATCTTAACAAACAAAAAATAGTCATTATCTTAGAAAAAACACCAATGGCAACATGTATGACTTACAAAAAAGAAATAACTAAAGACCCATGAAGAATTAAATAGAAAATCATATTTTTGAAATATATCTAAGGATTAAAATTATTTTCAAATTTTTGAATTTCCCGCCAGTTTAATTTGAAAGGGGAAAAACAAGATGGCTGCCATTTGATGTAAGAAATATCAGAAAAAATGTTGCTTCACTTTTAGTTTTCACAATGAGCACAGTTTTCCGATTTAAGTTTTTTGACTGATTCTGACTTTTCATCACCAGGGTCATGTAGAGAGATTATAAAATTGAAACCAAAATGTTGTGCTCAACATGAATTTGAGTTCACGTTATAGGGCTTAGTAGGTTTTAAATAAAAGTGACATAGATTTGAATCCAAAAACTTTATTTTGAAAACATTTTTATTACCTTTCGAATGTCACTGAAGGTTAACCAAAGGTCAAATCTCAAATCTAAGGTCAGATTTGAACTCCTAAAATTTGTTTAATGATTTCAAAAACTAAATGTTGTCATTTTGAAGCAAAATTTTTATAATACATTAATTGCTTATACTTGTATGTGTAAAACCTTAAGAGGAACTTTCAACCAAATATTGATTTGTAGTTACGGATATCGAGAAACTGAAATAACAGTTTTTTTACCTAGTTTTATGGCCTTGACAATTTTACTTTTCCAGAGCTCAATAGGGTTATTGAGATTAAATATATCTTAATAATTCGAATCCAAAAAATCTATTTAAAAATCAAATTTTAAATTTCGAAGATCAACCAAAGTCCAAATCTCAAATCTAAGGTCACTTTTGTTTTCTATATTCAAGGAACATTCCCTTTCCATCATGTATCGTACACCTCACAGGCAAGATGTATTGCATCATATGCCATAGGCCATGGCTAATGTTTCATTCACTTCAGTCTGTGGGGACCAGTTCGTAAGTGTGTCAAGTTATGCATATCGTTTCGCTCACAAACAACATTCATTACACCATATGTCATACTTCATATGCCTAACAATCGACATGTGTTTAATCTACTTCAGTCTTTGAGGACCAATTCGTAAGTCGGTCAACATATACGCATATCGTTTCCCTCAAAAACAATATTCATTACATCATATGTCATACTTCATATGCCATAGGCCATGCCTAATGTTTAATTCACTTCAGTCTGCAGGGACCAGTTCGTAAGTGTGTCAAGATATACGCATATCGTTTCCCTCACAAACAATATTCATTACATCATATGTCATACTTCATATGCCATAGGCCATGCCTAATGTTTAATTCACTTCAGTCTACGGGGACCAGTTTGTAAGTGTGTCAAGATATACGCATATCGTTTCCCTCACAAACAATATTCATTACATCATATGTCATACTTCATATGCCATAGGCCATGCCTAATGTTTAATTCACTTCAGTCTACGGGGACCAGTTTGTAAGTGTGTCAACATATACGCATATCGTTTCCCTCACAAACAATATTCATGACATCATATGTCATACTTCATATGCCATAGGCCATGCCTAATGTTTAATTCACTTCAGTCTGCGGGGACCAGTTCGTAAGTGTGTCAAGATATACGCATATCGTTTCCCTCACAAACAATATTCATTACATCATATGTCATACTTCATATGCCATAGGCCATGCCTAATGTTTAATTCACTTCAGTCTGTGGGGACCAGTTCGTAAGTGTGTCAAGATATACGCATATCGTTTCCCTCACAAACAATATTCATTACATCATATGTCATACTTCATATGCCATAGGCCATGCCTAATGTTTAATTCACTTCAGTCTACGGGGACCAGTTTGTAAGTGTGTCAAGATATGCATATCGTTTCCCTCACAAACAATATTCATTACATCATATGTCATACTTCATATGCCATAGGCCATGCCTGATGTTTAAGTAACTTCAGTCTACGGGGACCAGTTTGTAAGTGTGTCAAGATATGCATATTGTTTCCCTCACAAACAATATTCATTACATCTATGTCATACTTCATATTTCATAGGCCATGCCTAATGTTTAATTCACTTCAGTCTACGGGGACCAGTTTGTAAGTGTGTCAAGTTATGCATATCGTTTCGCTCACAAACACTATTCATTACATCATATGTCATACTTCATATGCCTAACAATCGACATGTGTTTAATTTACTTCAGTCTGTGAGGACCAATTTGTCGAATGCCCTCTATATAAGAGGTTGGGTGAAATGGATTGTAGCAGATCTGCCGTAAAGGCGGCTTGTAGGAAGACATGCAACGCTTGCGATCCTTATGGTGGGTAAACTATATTACTCCAAGTTTGAATAAAACATGCTTTTAAAAGAACATCAATCATTTTAATCGGTGTCATAATTTAAATTACCCTATATGATAGCTAATTTTGCTAATTTAATACAATGTATTCTCCTAAGCCGGTGTCCAGAATCCCTCTATCTTCGGTAAAAAGAAAGAAGGTATTCTGGATTTTGGAGCCCTGCGTACAGAGGATGTTACCGTGTAGTCATTCAGTAACGTCATGTTCTACATATGTCGTATCTACGAAATACATTATCATCATTCACACTGGGCAATCTCATTGTTCAAATTCCCCTGTTTTAGAGTATAATTTTACATGACACCTATGGGTGTGTAATCTCTAAAGAACAGAACAAAAACATGATTGGTATAACTGGCATGGACACCACTTCCTTATGATCATTCCAAGGCACTGGATTTGTTGACATTACTACGGAATATAACTGATCATTTCAGTAAAAATGCAATGGATATTTTCCTTAAGATTAACTATATATTTGTTATCATTGGAAAATGTTTTACTTAACAATCGGATAATTTAAGGGTTCATCTTCAAACTTTCCTTTAACCATATTATTGTATAGTTGCAAAACGTACCATGTTAATTATAACGTAAATAAAAGTGCCGAATACAACACTCAAAACTGACGTCTTGATTGATTGCCTCATACGAAGCCCCTGTGTTATTAATATTGGATGGAATAAACATTGGTTAAGTTATATTGTATAGACAATACACTCCATTAATATTATCTTTTCGTGCACAAAATGGTTCTAAATTCAGTTTTATGTAATATTATTTTTTGTCACAGGTACTCCCAACAAGCGAGCTGGTCTACTGGGTCCGATCGACCCGTACCGTCAAGTTTGCAGGGACGAAGCAGGTCGTTGGTGTAGTACAACTACAAATCTGAGATGTGATATTCCCTTTATAAGCAAAAGGTGTGAGAAAAGTTGTGGAGTTTGTGAAGACACAGGAGAGACAGGTGAGTTAGTGGGTTGCAGCTTTAGACTACTTACTTTTCTTGAATAAAAGGTGTTATGGAATAATAGGTGTTACTTTGTATTTTATCCTGATATCATCGAACAGGTCTCCTTTTTGCCCCATCTTTGACATATCTTTTGGTTTTAGAGTGTGAGGACCAGAGTGAACGATGCCCTATGACTGCATTCAAAGATGGTTATTGTAATCCAATACCGATAAGAGAACAATGTCCGAAGAGTTGTGACATTTGCGGCAGTGGATTTGCAGATAAAATAAGTAAGTAGAAGCTGGGATAGAACAATAATATTGTAACATTTCTCCGTTTTTCATTTAATATTTTCAATTACAAATAACATCCATGAACCTTTCAAAGGATAAACGTCATCGGATTTCTTACAATAAAATTCGTTTAACTAAGAAATTCTCCATCTAAAATGTCACTCGACTTTTTGTGATTATGAGTCAAAGAAAGCATTCTTGAGTTTCAAATTGACTTCTGTGGTAACTTGAAACCATCTTCTAATTTATTCCACTTACCTTTTATTGTTTCTCCAAATATATTCTTTGAAAATCGGATTTTAAGGGTGTTAATCAGGGTAATTCTGTGCCATTTTATCAAAAATCTTGTTGCTATCTAGAAACGAGCAATTGTGATCTTGTTGTTACCTAGGAACGAGCAACTGTGATGTCACGTCACACTGATGTTAATTCTGGAATCACATGGCAGACATTTTGGAAATTTCGAAAAAAAAGTTCCCAATTAAAAAGGCTAAATGCTGTTTACAAATTGGAAACTATGGCAGAATCAACAAAGGGTTTGTGAAATAATTAGGATATGGTTACAAAATTATGCACATGACTACTAAATGCAGGCAGGGACTTTTAATTGCCAAAAAGTCGAGTGACATTTTAGATGGAGAAATTCTTAATTATAAATTTAATATCAATTTGTTTCTTTTAAGATAATGGTCAAATTCTGTATATTTCTTTTTTTTGATTTAAATATTAGGGATATTCGAGTTTTTGTTATAGCTTTTGTCATTGGTTTAGAACTCTACCTCATACGGGGTCTCAATATGGCCATCCATGACCATGTAGCCGACGCGTTTAACTTTTCTACCCAATGAAATGCTTTTAGTGAAGTCGTACCTTTCACCTTTCACGTTTCTACTCCACTGATAATTGACCTGGTTCACCAGTTCACTGTGTTCTGCCAACTTCATCTTCGAAATACCATAGTCAGGTGTACAGTACCAGCCAATTTTAATCCATATTGTCACTTTGGTAACATATCTAGCACTTTCATTTCATTGGCTGGATTCCTCGTTCCCTAGCATCGAAAATTCTGTGTATTAACTTGGCATCAAAGTTAAGCATAATATTTGCTTTGAAAGCTGAATTCTGTATGGAAATAAATCCAAGTGAGCCCTTGGGATTCCGCAGAGATACAACAATTGAATTTTCTCGAACAACTGACTCTTTAACAGCATCATATTGTTCCATCGCACGGCCATTTTTTCTTCTTTACTTTGCTTTGATCTAATTGCATTTAGTTCACAAAAGAAGAAATCTAACAACATTAGCGCTGCTTATTATTTTTAGACCCAGTGCGTCAAATATGTTGATCCTACCAGATACCTACACGAGACCTGGACCATTGATTCGTTTGGTGCTAAAACTCAACATTTTTTTATCTATAAATAAGGACAAACTGCTTCATTTTCCTTGAACTCTAATGCCTTGCAAAACAACATTTCGGCTTCCATATACGTGTTCTCTCTTATGCAAAGCTTTTAGTAAAGTCAAACCTTTTTGATGTTCTCACCTTTAACACCACTGATACATGTACTTGTCCTGAATCACTATGTGGTTATTCTACCAACGTCATCCTCAAAGATAATATCCAACATTGGAGTTGCTATCTAGCTAAGTAAAAATGGATGAATAGGTGTCAGCTCTTTGTTCTTTATATGTTTTGGTTTTGTTTCAATGGTAAAAAATGTGGACTGGTCACTTAATTTCATGATTCATGAAAACTCTAATGGCATACAATCGTTGACCCTGTAAAAGTACGTATTGTGAATATATCAAGGTTTTGAAGAAATTCAAAATTGTATGGATGTTGAACGAATAGATCAAGATTTAAAAGAATTTCAACATTACATCAATTTGATCCACACTTGTTAGTAAAGTTGAAAAAGTCATGGATATTATATAAATAAAATAACTGTGAATCAGAGTAATATCTGAATCCAAATATGTTAATAATAAGACGGCGAACTTTGCAGTTAGAGGCGATTTGTAAATTCTGAAACACTCACAGGATATCTCCATTTAGAAACTTACACTAATGCCTTGGTAACATTTGCTCCGATTTTCACTACGGCGCCCGGCCAATTGATTATTTGGTTAAAATTGAATACAATATTGAGCAAAACACTCAATCGGCCGGGCGCCGGCCGATGGATCGGAGCAAATGTGACCCAGGTATAAGTAAACGTATGAATGCAATAATTATTTATTTGGTCTGTATCTAGATGTGGCGAGCCATCATTTACAATAATATGGACCTGTATGCAATTGATACGGCAATGTAGTACAAAGTCGAGAAATTGATGCATCCCTTAGGAAAAAACCCATGTTTTGACATGCGTGGAGAAAAAGGGTACATGTTCTCACTTAGTTTTACACACTTTTACCTCAATCCTCCCATGTGTGGCATGGAAAATTAGGTAAAAACAGGAGATGGCATTCTTGTTTTTACACACTTTTACCTCAGGGAAAAATGTGGGTGACTGTGGAAAAATGTGGGGAAATGAAGTAACTCTCATCTTATTTTTACTTAACTTCCCCACATTTTCCACACTGTGGAGGAATGTGGGAAAGGGTAGTTACATGGTTTTACATGCATTGTAGTACATCTTAGAGAAAATAGAGGGACTTAAATATGCTCTAATATTTACAGTTGTTTTATTTAATATTTACATAGGGTATAATTCTCAATAAGCCTAGTGGAACCCAGCTTGAACATCAATACTATTGATTTGACTTCATATAAAATAAACATGTACACATTTGTATCAAATGTTTTAACTTTATTTATATTTACATTGATATATAATACAATACATATATTTTTTCTATGTACAAACTAATCAGTATTTACAAATGTTTATAGTTTTTTATTAAGACAGTTATAGGTTACTGTAGCTGTCCATTCTGAAATACGAAGGTCTAGCAGGATTGAACAACTGGGTATGTTTGGTAAGTTGACAAATTTATTCTTAAGCTAGGGATAATAGTAGCCTTGCCCAATTTGGTATTGTTTACTCATCTAATTTTGAATTTTTACTTGAATTATTGTTAATGGAATTAAAACAAAAAAAACAAAAAAAAAACGCTCACTTATATTAGGCAAGGCTGGGATAATAACATTATTAGACTATCTATAATCTGTAGTATAATAATACATTGGCAATTGCAAAAATTGTGAAATCAAAATAAGGTATTTATCTGAGTTCATCATTTTCCTACAAGTTGAGAAACATTTCATCATTATTCAAAATTAAACCAACTAATGTTTCATTGATGGATGATACAGATGTTAATAAATACCTTTATTGATGCTTACAGTGCTATACAAGGTCATTAAAAGGACCAATCTGATAGTTTTCCAATGGAAGTATTTACATAATATTGTGAACAAATGATTTGACTTTTTGAAATAAAAATAAAGGAGACAGCACTTTGCTTTTGTAAAGAAAACAAAATAGATAATTTGACACACAGATTCATAAAATATGCAACTTTGTACAACTAATATGGGATTTGATTAAATCAATTTTGATATATGTTTAAATGTACAAGCTATTTTAATGGCATTGTAGACATAGACTAATAAATTGTAATCATTAGTAACATTGATTGTTAAGCCCAGGACAATCCATAAACAAAAGTCTATTTCTTTGCTTTCCTTTTCAAATCTCTGCGTTTTTGGTTTGTTGTTTTCTCAATCTTATTTATATCTATCCCATGTCTTGTCTGCAAGAATTCTGCAATGACAAAAGATTTTACAAAACATTAATCATTTTAGAGACATATCATTTAACGTGGAGCAGTTGTTTTAGAATTACATTCTTTTTTATAATTGGTTAATATGCCAGAACAATGAAACACCTTCTTATGTAAAATAATCAAGGGGTACCAAAACTGTCTCCATTTTCCTACAGTGTTACTACACGATAATATTGAAATGGTGAACTAGACATTTATTGCAGAATCCTTTAATATCTAAAAAATAAAACTTTGGATAAAGTAGGAACATACCTCTAATTAGCGGCATTCTAACACCAAGGTCATCTAAAGTCAGGTTGTTCCCAGATGGTCTGGCAAATGTGTTCAAGAGTTCCCTTTCACTAAACATCTTATCTAGCAGGTAGCAAATGGCTTTTCCTGGCCCTCTCTTCTTCACTATATCTGCGACTACTTTCATTGTCGATTCAGAGATTTCCTATGTAAAAGGAAAGATTTTTATTAACTGAATCAGAACTTTATAAATTGCAGAATACCTCAGGTCATGGTTTCAATTATAAATACATATGGGTGAACCTGTGGTTTGAAGCCTACATATTATTCATTTAAAGCTATAATTGAACCCGAAGTTTGCATATTTTCCCATTGAACTTATACATTGAAGTGAACCTATAGTTGAACCTGTGGTTTGAAACTGATATGCCATGAAAGTGAACCTATAGTTGCACCTGTGGTTTGAAATTAATATGTCATTGAAGTGAACCTATAGGTGAACCCGTGGTTTGAAAATAAAATGTCATTGAAGTAAACCTATAGTTGAACCCATAGTTTGAAGCTAACATATCATTGAATTGAACCTATAGTTGAACCCATGGTTTGAAGTGAATATGCCATTGAAGTAAACCTATAGTAGAACCCATGGTTTGAAAATAAAATGTCATTGAAGTGAACCTATAGTTGCACCCATGGTTTGAAACTGATATGTCTTTGAAGTGAACCTATAGTTGAACCCGTGGTTTGAAATTAATGTCATTGAAGTGAACCTATAGTTGAACCCATGGTTTGAAACTGATATGTCATGAAAATGAACCTATAGTTGCACCTGTGGTTTGAAATTAATATGTCATTGAAGTGAACCTATAGTTGAACCCGTGGTTTGAAACTGATATGTCATGAAAGTGAACCTATAGTTGCACCTGTGGTTTGAAATTAATATGTCATTGAAGTGAACCTATAGTTGAACCCGTGGTTTGAAATTAAAATGTCATTGAAGTGAACCTATAGTTGCACCCGTGGTTTGAAACTGATATGTCTTTGAAGTGAACCTATAGTTGAACCCGTGGTTTTAAACTGAAATGTCATTGAAGTGAACATGGTCATTAATATGTCAGTTAAGTGAACCTATAGTTGAACCCGTGGTTTGAAACTGAAATGTCATTAAAGTGAACCTATAGTTGCACCCGTGGTTTGAAACTGATATGTCTTTGAAGTGAACCTATAGTTGAACCTGTGGTTTTAAACTGAAATGTCAATGAAGTGAACATTGTCATTAATATGTCAGTTAAGTGAACCTATAGTTGAACCCGTGGTTTGAAACTGAAATGTCATTAAAGTGAACCTATAGTTGCACCCGTGGTTTGAAACTGATATGCCTTTGAAGTGAACCTATAGTTGAACCCGTGGTTTTAAACTGAAATGTCATTGAAGTGAACATTGTCATTAATATGTCATTGAAGTGAACCTATAGTTGAATCCATGGTTTGAAGTTAATATGTCATTGAAGTGAACCTATAGTTGGACCCGTCGTTTGAAGTTAATGTCATTGAAATGAACCTATAGTTGAGCCCATGGTTTGAAGTTTACATATCATTGAAATGAACCTATAGTTGAACCCGTGGTTTGAAGCTGACATATCATTGAAGTGAAAATATAGTTGAACCCGTGGTTAAACCTGTAGTTTGAAGTTTACATGACATTGAAGTGAAGCTATAGTTGAACCCGTAGTTGAAACTGTGGTTTGATGTTTACATGTGACTGTAATTGAACCTATAGTTGAACCCATAGTCAATATGTTATTTAATTAAACCCATAGTATGCATAATACCCATTTGAATCCTTCATTCAACTTAGAAACTTGATACTCACTGTTATATTGGCTTTTCTTTTTTCAACAACAGTAACTGGTCTCAGATCTTCTGGCGTTTCTTTGTTTACAGAGCAACCTGCAATGAAATTTGAGTTGAACGACATAGTTATTGGGTTCTGATTAGTTATATAGCTTCCATTCTTTTAGTTAAGAACAAATGCAGGGTTAAGTTTACTAACTGTTGTCTAAGAAATGAAAGATGACATTACCTGAATCAGACGTCTGGCCTGGTAGAGAGGAAGATTCTTGAATTGGTAATTGTGTTTGTCGGATCTCAGTATTGGAACTTGCAGATGGTATATTGAAGACAGGAGAAGTAACGGTTGATGGTGTTTTACAACTTGGGGATTCAGGTGACTGAGATTCTTGTATATCCATAGAAAGTTCACAATCACTTTCGTCTGACAAGTGTGACAGGGGTGGCGAGACACTGTATTGCCTATGGGTTTCACTATATCCAATGGAGCTCCCCAATGATTCCAGATCTAGCTTCCTGGCTGTAGGAGGTTTTACTATTCCTGTGATCTCATTCACAATCCGGTCCTTCATGCTGTTCATATTGGTATTGAACTGCTCAAAGCCTACAATTTAGAATTGAAATGATATATTATATATAAATTATAAACTATCATGATAAAGTCATGAAAAATATAGTTGGTGTAATCTTAACACCACTGGAAATTTAAAAATGTGTTCAGACCAGCATGTGATATGTCAATGTTTTATCAAGAAGGTAGTTATTGGGCAAGTATGTAATTGGGAAAAAAAATATTCACAATTGAAGTCCTTGGATTTAGAGAGATGTCAGAAGTACAGGTTTCTCTTTTGATTATTTCGAAGTTGACAACCAACTTTGCTTGCCGGAGACTAAATTGTTTGCAATAGTCAAACAAAATTCAGTAAATTATACAATTCTATTCCATTAAAAAAACTTGAATTTGAAATTATTTTTTACTTGCTCTTGATATATTACCTTTGTTAAAACTGGTCTGGATGAGATTGATTTCTTGGGCATTTTGCTGGTTTTTAAACGTATTGTAGTCAATTCTTCCATGAAGTATGTTTAATTGATTGGACACATGGCTGCATACATCTCTCTGAAAAATAGAGTGAAAAACTTGCATTAAACTGCTCATTTCAGCTACACATTTAGATAATATGCAAAGGCATCAAAATGTTTCTTAGACAATAACAAGAAATTTTAGAGATATATTTGCAAATTGTTGAACTCCATAAAAACTATTTCATCAAAACATAATTAAAATCTTTTCAATGCTTCATATATAACTAATAATGAGCAGAATTTAGATTTTAACTGCTGGTATACTTACAAATAATTGGGATTTCATTGTCTCAGCCCAAGGTGCCATTGCAGTGATGCTGTTGTGAGGGATGAGGGATGAGTAATTAGTCGCCATTCCTTGGTAGCCAGAGTAGAAGTTTGTCGCCATACCCTGATTTCCCAAGGACGGGTTTGTCGCCATACCCTGATATCCTGAGGACGGGTTTGTCGCCATACCTTGATATCCTGAGGACGGGTTTGTCATACATTGATATCCTGAGGACGGGTTTGTCATACCTTGATATCCTGAGGACGGGTTTGTCATACCTTGATATCCTGAGGATGGGTTTGTCATACTTTGATATCCTGAGGATGGGTTTGTCATACTTTGATATCCTGAGGACGGGTTTGTCATACTTTGATATCCTGAGGACGGGTTTGTCATACCTTGATATCCTGAGGACTGGGTTGTCATACCTTGATATCCTGAGGACGGGTTTGTCATACCTTGATCTCCTGAGGACGGGTTTGTCATACCTTGATATCCTGAGGATGGGTTTGTCATACCTTGATATCCTGAGGACGGGTTTGTCATACCTTGATATCCTGAGGACGGGTTTGTCATACCTTGATATCCTGAGGACGGGTTTGTCATACCTTGATATCCTGAGGACGGGTTTGTCATACCTTGATATCCTGAGGATGTGTTTGTCATACCTTGATATCCTGAGGATGTGTTTGTCATACCTTGATAACCTGAGGATGGGTTTGTCATACCTTGATATCCTGAGGACGGGTTTGTTTCCATGTTTGTTGCCATGTCATCTATGAGTTCTATTAAATTTCCAGATATGTTCAATCCAGACAACTGATTCTCTTTATCATTTCTGACATTCAGACTTGTGTTATTGGTAGGATTATTGCACTCTGTTATCTGAGTTACTTCTACAACGGTGTGGGTGCTGGTGCTCATGCGGGCCTTACGAATGGCAACTGGTGAAGAAAACACTGGGCTTGATTGTCTTGAAATAGGTGTCGAGACTTCTTGAACTTTGGCATTTGAATTTGGAATGGCAACTGGCGAAGAAAGCGTTGGGCTTGATTGTCTTGAAATAGGTGTCGAGACTTCTTGAACTTTGGCATTTGAACTTTGAATTCGAACTGGCGAAGAAGGCACTGGACTCGGTTGTCTTGAAATAGGTGTCGAGACTTCTTGAACTTTGGCATTTGAACTTGGACTTCGAACTGGCGAAGAAGGCACTGGACTCGGTTGTCTTGAAATAGGTGTCGAAACTTCTTGAACTTTGGCATTTGAACTTGGAATTCGAACTGGTGAAGAAGGCACTGGGCTTGATTGTCTTGAAATAGGTGTCGAGACTTCTTGAACTTTGGCATTCAAATTTGTGGCAAAAAGTGTGGCAAACTTTTCACTTCTTTCTTTTGAGCGTTTGTGCACTAGTTCTATATCTAGAATAAAAATTAAAATTCATGAATGCAAAGTTTATATTTACTTTAACAATACCATCTCATTTTACAATCACAATTACAAGGATAATCTATTCTGTAATAGGAAATCTTCATGTGCCATGTTGACAGCAACAAACATAACCAAAACATATTTTTTTATTATATATTAATGAATGAGATATTGTATCCATTTGCCTTGTCAACTTCATTCATCTTATAGCTATTTTGTTATATAGAATTATTGACATTATTGTTTGAGATGAATTGCAGATTTATGTTAGTTCCACTTACTGTTCAGCTGAGACAGTTTAACTTTGGTAACTTTGTCATCCTTCAAGGGCTTCTTAATTTTGGATGCATTCTTCCGTTTTCTTGTCTTTCGACGCTTTACAGCTAAGAAGAAAAAATACAATATATACACTTTGCTCTATTTGCTCCATACCTTTCACTGATTCAATAGGAGTGTCAAAATTATTCTTATTTATGTATGAAATGTACATACATACATATGATTCATATGCAGGTTTAAAAATCAGTTTTTCAGAATAATTCAAGCTAAACTAAGACCTTTTAGATAATTTTGGTTAGCTGTAAATAGGAGAGAGTACACTAAGAGCGTCTTACGTTGAATTTCACTGATATCTTCATTTTCTATTTCTGAAGTACTAGTTGTTGCCAATTCTGCATATTCCTCAGTACTTCTTTTCTTAGCTCCTCGGGGATGCTGAATGCCTGTATGAAGTAAATAGAGTTTGTCACTATAGCACACATTAAAATCTGTCTAATCCGAATGCTTATATATTAATAGCATTATTGCAGCTCAAGGTATTGGCATCATCTTCCTCATCTGTAAATTACATATTAACTACATTACATAATGTTACATACCATTGTGAATAAAATAAAATATTTATTCATAGTTTTCCTACTGAGCGTATAAAATTATGTAAATCTCAGAAAAGTAATTTATGTTGTTAACTAATGAATTTATTTGAAAGTAATACACACACTGCACTCATTACAAAATCTGGAATTCATATTGATATACCTGTTATACATTTAATTGTTGCTTTGTACTTTGGAAAGGCTTTGCACTTTACTGCACATCCCACTATCATTTCATCTGTGTTGTCCAGAAGCCGCAGTCTTGAGGATTTTATCACTAGCCCCTTGTTGTCACTCTCAAAGGAAATAACAGTCCACTTGTCAGGGCCTAAAGTTAAAAATAAAATTTGCATGTTATTAAAATAATCTGGTTGAACCCAAAAGTGAACCTATAATTGAATCCAAGGTTTGAACTTTATTTGTCATTGAAGTGAACCTATAGTTGAACCCGTAGTTTGAAACTGATATGTCATCGACTGGAAGTGAACCTATAGTTGAACCCGTAGTTTGAAACTGATATGTCATTGACTGGAAGTGAACCTATAGTTGAACCCGTAGTTTGAAACTGATATGTCATTGAAGTGAACCTATAGTTGAACCCGTAGTTTGAAACTGATATGTCATTGACTGGAAGTGAACCTATAGTTGAACCCGTAGTTTGAAACTGATATGTCATTGACTTGAAGTGAACCTATAGTTGAACCCGTAGTTTGAAACTGATATGTCATTGAAGAAAACCTATAGTTGAACCCATAGTTTGAAACTGATATGTCATTGACTGGAAGTGAACCTATAGTTGAACCCGTAGTTTGAAACTGATATGTCATTGAAGTGAACCTATAGTTGAACCCGTAGTTTGAAACTGATATGTCATTGACTTGAAGTGGACCTATAGTTGAACCCGTAGTTTGAAACTGATATGTCATTGAAGTGAACCTATAGTTGAACCCGTAGTTTGAAACTGATATGTCATTGACTGGAAGTGAACCTATAGTTGAACCCGTAGTTTGAAACTGATATGTCATTGACTGGAAGTGAACCTATAGTTGAACCCGTAGTTTGAAACTGATATGTCATTGAAGTGAACCTATAGTTGAACCCGCAGTTTGAAACTGATATGTCATTGACTGGAAGTGAACCTATAGTTGAACCCGTAGTTTGAAACTGATATGTCATTGACTTGAAGTGAACCTATAGTTGAACCCGTAGTTTGAAACTGATATGTTATTGAAAAAAACCTATAGTTGAACCCATAGTTTGAAACTGATATGTCATTGACTGGAAGTGAACCTATAGTTGAACCCGTAGTTTGAAACTGATATGTCATTGAAGTGAACCTATAGTTGAACCCGTAGTTTGAAACTGATATGTCATTGACTTGAAGTGGACCTATAGTTGAACCCGTAGTTTGAAACTGATATGTCATTGAAGTGAACCTATAGTTGAACCTATAGTTGAACCCGTAGTTTGAAACTGATATGTCATTGACTGGAAGTGAACCTATAGTTGAACCCATAGTTTGAAACCGATATGTCATTGAAGTGAACCTATATTTTAATTATTTCAATAATATTCAAACCTTTTTCTTTTGTGAGTTGTCTGAGTGTCATCTTCTTCTTTATGAACACAGTATTTCTAATTCTGTCAAAATGTTTTGAAATTCTTTCTTTTTGGTCAGTGTTCTGTTTCTTGTGATATGATCAGTGTTCTAGCTCTTGTGATATCTGATTTAAGACTGAATTTTACTCTGGAGAGCCCTATATATAGGCACTAAATGTTTAATCCAATTAATTAATGAAAAGGAAAGGGGAGTGTTAGTCTCATTTATGATGCTAATTTTCTATGATCTCCACAACTTGAACTCTGCAAAAGCAATCAAACAGCCAGACTTAAATAAATAAACATACAATGCATTTATGATCAATTGTTAAAATAGAACATTAAAATCTTTTTTAAATCTTTAACAATAACAATTCATTATAAAATCCTATATGTATTCTTTAAACTTCAATTCTACATGTTCATATTGGTTTCTCTAATTCAAAGCAAAATGATAAACAAAACAACTACTGAGATTTGTTTACATTTCTAGGTAAATGTTGATTTAAGGTGACATATTTCTCCACACTTTCCCCAAATTTTCCTATCTACTTTCTTAGTTTCACCCATATTTTCCACATCTTCCCACAATATTCTTTCCTTAGTCCAATTTCTCATTAGATATCAAAGAAAATCCATTTGTATAATCAGATAAAAAACCAATGATATAAAATAATTTGAACTGAGATATTTCTCCACAATTTCCCCAAATTTGCTATCAACTTATATTTTCCACAACATTCTTTGCTAAGCCTAGTTTCTCATCAGATATCAAAGAAAATTCATGTTTTATAAGATGAAAAAAAACAATGAGATTAATAAATAAAAATTAATAAATTTAAACAATGGTTTCTCTAATTCAAGGCAAAATGATAAACAAAACAACTACTGAGATTTGTTTACTTTCCTAGGTAAATGTTTATTTAAGGTGACATATTTCTCCACACTTTCCCCAAATTTTCCTATCTACTTTCTTAGTTTCACCCATATTTTCCACATCTTCCCACATTATTCTTTCCTTACTCCGATTTCTCATTAGATATAAAAAAAATCCATTTGTATAATCAGATAAAAAACCAATGATATAAAATAATTTGTTGCAGTATTATACTTTTCCATTACTTATATGCCAAATTAAATCATATTATTGATATGTAATGGTAAAGCACCAATTATTAATCTGGAGTTAATTACTTAAATTGCAATGTAATGATTTAAGTCAATATCTGCCAATTAGTAAATTTCATTTTACTTTTGAACAGATTATCTACATTAATTGGCTCCAGGCCTTACTTAACTTTTTAAAGGGGTGATTGGTTTTCATTTTAATAACCAATGTGATCAAAAATATAGAAATGATTTTACATTTTAGAATCTGAGGATCCTTTCATCCCTGTATTATAAACTAAGTCACATCATCGACATCATAAAGACCTTCAAGTCAATTGAACTACCAGATCTGCCCTATACATTGCCTAATACAAATATGGCAAAGCGCAAAATTGACAAAGTGCAGGATTATATGTCTCAAATGCAATCTAACCATGTTCCACTATATGAAGGAAGTCAATTGTCTGATTTAGAAAGTTTAGTACTTCTTGTAAATCACCTTCACTCCTTCAACACATCAAAAGCAGCACTTGAGAATATCATCAACATATTGAAGCTGCATCTTCCAGTCAATTGTGATGCACCTCATCTAAAAAGCTTGTATTATTTTAATAAACTATACAAACAAAGTGACACTGAAGAATCATCCATTCTGAATTTTGAAATTTGCGAAAATTGTTCATATCTCTATAAGGATGCTGCAATAACATGTCCTGATTGTAATACATCACGGTACAAAAATCCAAAAACAAAACTGCCAAATGCCAGCTTCCACGGTTTAGATGTTGAGCGACAAATTCAGGAATTTTTCAAAGGTAACAGGACACCCGGGGTTCAATAAAGTTTAACAAAATAAAGAACAGGTTACTTAAAATATTTTTTCATTATTTACTGGACTTTTTCCTTGATACTTTAAAACACATTTAGTACAGAGACCTTATACCCAAGTTGCAATATTGAAAATAACAACTACTGTAGTAATTTTGATGTTTTTCAGATCCAAAGTTCTGTAAAGGAATCAAGAAAAGGTTCACTCGAGAAAGTCCAGGGGACAATATCTGTGATATTTGGGATGGGTCTGCCTATAAAAAGCACACGCAGGAAGGAGGCTTCCTTACAAATCCATACAATTTATCACTGATGATTCATTTTGATGGTGCTGCCTGCTCCAAATCATCAAGATATGATATCTGGCCACTGACGGGGTATATTAATGAATTACCACCATCTATGAGGTAAAGATGAATTCATTGAATAATTTTTCAATTTTTTAAAATTTGATCAATGTGATAAACTTCAATAAAGATAAAGATCTTTTAACCCTTTCATGACCTGAATATAAGAGGAAAAGGTTGGCCTGGTGATGGATAAGTAAGAGTGTTTTTAAGGGGAAAACTGCAAATTATCTCTACCTGGGAACTTTACTTTACATTTTATCACTTAAATACAATTTTTAATAAGAATTATCACATTTTAACAACTTGTCAAAATTTGGTGTAAAAATACTGAACAGAACTGGAGATATCATCATTTTATTGATGTATAAAAATAAAAATAATGGTGACAAAAAGGAGCCCATCATCCTGAAAGGTATTACATAATAGGGCTCCATATGGAGCCTATCGCCGTGAAAGGGTTAAGTGAGGCATGTAACTCTGCAGTGCCATGTAACATTGACACCACTTTACAAAATAATTCAAAATAATTGTTTGCAATATCTGATAGGCCAAGAAAGTGATACTCATGACAATAGCATTCTGGTCATTAGGTGATGTTATGGAAAAGAAATACATACATACACTGTACATGTATAATGTTTATATTAGGCTTCATCATCAATTAAAATAAAACTAATAGCTTTGTAATTCTGTTTTGTAGATTTGACCAAAACTACAGAATTGTAATTGGTTTATGGAAGGGGGCCAAAAAGCCATCTATGATAACATTCATGGAGCCGATCATTGACAGACTGAATGAAGTATATCTAAATGGTATGTTCATTGGATGCAATAAACATAAACTCATTATCCCATCAAACATAGTTTGTGGGGATATAGAGAACAGCAATAATTCAAATACCGTCTGTTGGACCGTCAGGTACCTTTATATTTTATAAGTATGTATATGCTTCATGGAAGTACAAGTTCTGCATGCAAGCCAATTTTCAAAATGGAAACTTGTTTCAAAATGGGCAGCATTTTAGTGTCAGTTTTATAGTATTTTAGGTACAAGATATACTAGAAAACTGCAACTCCACAGAGTAGCAAATCCCAATGAACAACATATCCATTACCAAAATTCCAATCAGTTATACTCATAACTTTGGTTAAAAATGAACTAAGAAATACAATACCATAATTGTGATCTACTCTAAATTTCTTTGATTTGAGTATAATAAAGCCATGCATCGAAGAGATCAGAAAATGAGTGCGAAATCCCATATTAGGCAGAAAAACGATACAATATTTGCAATCTACTCTAAAAAAAATGGCTGTTCAATTTGCTATGCATTGGCATTGCTGTTATCTTGTTAAATTTATAGAATTCACTTCTCATCTAGAATGGCATCCCTAGTAAACAACTCACTATCAAAAAACTGGAATTGAACCTACAACTCTACACCTTTTCAGGCAAACCATTTCGCAGATGATTTGAAATTTCCAGGGATGCTTCTTTGTATGTAAATCTTGGAATGATTGTTTTTTTAAGGAATCACCATTTTTCCAATTGATAATGACCAGGACCAGACTTGCAGGATACTGCTACTTGTTGGAACTTTGGACCTTCCTGCCCAAGCTATGGTCCTCGACCAAGTGCAGTACAATGGTAGATTTGGCTGTGGATTTTGTGAAGACCCTGGTGAACGGATCAAGAAGGGTCGTGGAAGTGTGCAAGTGTACTCCTGCCCTTCCCCTGACGACATTGCTCCCTTACGAACTCCAGACAATATTAAGGAGCAAGCTAGAACTGCAGAAGAAACTAACAAAGCAGTAGGTGTTTTAACATGAATAACTACAATATATTTGATCTAATATAACTAAATGTAAACCAACTATGAAGATATCTCTAAATAAATTATAGCAAATTCCGAATTTAAGGTAGTTGGAATTAACTGTGGCACAAATAAAAAACAAACAAATGGTATTAACAGTAGCGATACTTTGAAGATATTGGGAAATTATTGTGAAACCCAACATAAGGTGGTCATTTTGAATTTTCTCAGTATTGAATCAGAATAACAATTTTATCCTTCTTGTACAAGAATCTTTAAGGGACATTTAAGCACAATATTATCATAGTTATTCATAAGAATTAATGTCTTCTTAGGTAAAAGGAGTGAAGCGCCTCTCGAGCCTCCACTTTCTAAACATGGGCCAAGTGTATTGTGACATCTCACTTGATTGGCTACATGGTGTGTGCCTTGGAGTTCATGGCAATCTGATGCAATATTTCTTTGACAAACAGTACAAAGAAGAGCCCTTCTCACTAGTAAGGGAAATTCAGAAAATTGATGAGAGGCTGAACAAAGTCCAACTGACATCAGACTTCACAAGGACACCACGGTCTGTCACCAATCATAAATCTTGGAAAGGTAATGATATAATTTACATACATTGTTACAGTCATATGCAAACTTAAAACCAAGGGTCCAACTATAGGTTCACTTCATTGACATATAGGCTTCAATGTAATCTTTCTTATAAACTTTCAATGATATTGAGTGATATTGGTCCAACTAAAGGTTCACTTTAATGACATGTAAGCCTCAAAATATGGGCTACACTAAAGCTTCAATGGATGCATATGTAAACTTCAAACCATGGGTTCAACTATAGGTTCACTTCAAAGACATGTAAGCTCCAAAGTATGGGTTGAACTATGGGTTCACTTGAGTCACATGTAAATTTCAAACCACGGGTTCAACTACGGGTTCACTGGTCCAACCACGGGTTCAACTATAGGTTCACCCCAACGACATCAACTTCAAACCATGGGTTCAACTATAGGTTCACTTCAATGATATGTTAGCTTCACACTATGGGTTCAACTATAGTTTCACCTCAAAAACATTTTATTTTCTAACCACGGGTTCAACTATAGGTTCACTTCAATGGCATATTCACTTCAAACCACGGGTTCAACTATAGGTTCACTTCAATGACATATCAGTTTCAAACTACGGGTTCAACTATAGGTTCACTTCAATGGCACATTCACTTCAAACCATGGGTTCAACTATAGGTTCATTCAATGACATATCAGTTTCAAACTATGGGTTCAACTATAGGTTCACTTCAATGACATTAACTTCAAACCACGGGTTCAACTAAAGGTTCACTTCAATGATGTGTTAGCTTCAAACCATGGGTTCAACTATAGGTTCACTTCAATGAGATATCAGTTTCAAACTATGGGTTCAACTATAGGTTCACTTCAATGACATTTTATTTTCAAACCACGGGTTCTACTATAGGTTTACTTCAATGGCATATTCACTTCAAACCATGGGTTCAACTATAGGTTCACTTCAATGAGATATCAGTTTCAAACTATGGGTTCAACTATAGGTTTACTTCAATGACATTTTATTTTCAAACCACGGGTTCAACTATAGGTTCACTTTAATGACATATCAGCTTTAACCATCGTGTAATGTTTAATTTGCTTTACAGCTGCAGAACATAGAGCATTTCTCATCATGTTTGGGCCTGAGGTACTGACTGGACTCCTACCTGATGACTACATAGCACATTATTGTATGCTCTCAGCTGGGGTTAGGATTTTACTCCAAGATAAAATATCACCAACTGAACTGGGCCATGCAGCAGCACTACTTTACAATTTCTATGATCTCCAAGAGTCACATTATGGTAAACCTCTTTTTAGATAAAGCAGGCTTGTAGTTTTTGTAACACACTCAGCCAAATGACAAACAATGCTAATGCTACTCCTCCAAAGATCGTAACAACCTAGTATTTGACACAACTTACAATTAAAATGTTCAATTGATTTCAGGCATTACTATTATATCATACTTTTCAAATCTTCAGCATGATATCAAATTTCCAACATGCTCTATTTCATTTCTATTCATTTTGTGACAATTGTACTATTTTGTAGGAAAGTCATCACTGACAATAAATTCCCACAACACTGGGCTGCACCTAGTGCAGTGTGCAGAAAAATTTGGTCCGATCTGGGCAACATCATGCTTTGCCCCTGAGTCACATATTGGTACACTAGTCAGGACAATCCAGGGGACTCAGAATAAAGGAATTCAGGTAAATATTCAAATAATCACAAGCAATTGTTAGTACCCACATGCCAGTAGATAGTTACCCGTTTCACCACCAGTTGACTAATTCAGGTCAGATAGCATGGCAGATATAGTAGAAAGTTCCCTTTAAATGAATATTCATAAGTTTTAGTTTTAGTGGATCGATTATTCAATTTTCATATTACCCTTATGTGTCTGATAAGTACACATGGTACTATTTTATCAATTATAAATATTTGGTTGGTTTATTTTTCAAAAAAGGAAATCACTTTGATAAAGCTTGATTCCAAAAAGTGACAAATTGTTTAAATACATTTGGTGACAGGCTGAGAGAGATTATCTTATTGTTTTAAGATCAAGGAATCATATGATGCAATTGTTTAGTACTCATCTTCAGATCATTCAATTCCAATAACCAATCAGATTGCAGGATTAATGTTTTAAACAATGTCAGGATTGATTACCTGGATTAACTGATCACTATTTGATGACACTGACACTTTTGTTTATAATATGTGATATTTTGAGGCCAGATTAAAGAATTAAGATTGACCAATCAGAATGCTTCATTTCAAGTTTCAAACAATTATTGCATTTTCATTTTTTTTATTTTATTTATTTCCCAAATACTGTTAAAATCATGTAAAAAAAAATTCTTGTCTTTGGACACACCTTCAAAAATGTGATTGAAATACTAATGGTACTGTAGGATTGTGATAAATAATAAGATATTTGAGTGGTCAAGTCTTTAGAATATTTTTCAAAAAGGGTAATCACTTTAATAAAAGATAATTCCAAAAAGTGACAAATTGTTTAAATACATCTGGTGACAGGCTGAGAGAGATTATCTTATTGTTTTAAGATCAAGGAATCATATGATGCAATTGTTTAGTACTCATCTTCAGATCATTCAATTCCAATAACCAATCAGATTGCAGGATTAATGTTTTAAACAATGTCAGGATTGATTACCTGGATTAAATGATCACTATTTGATGACACTGACACTGACACTTTTGTTTATAATATGTGATATTTTGAGGCCAGATTAAAGAAATTAAAGGATTAAGATTGACCAATCAGAACGCTTCATTTTGAGTTTCAAACAATTTTTGGGTTTAAAAGCAGGAAAATTTCTCTTGGAATTCATTATTTATTAATGCAACTACTACATAACACTCAAGATGACAGCAGAAAACACAATAACCAACTGGATGCAGAAGACTCTACAAGCTGACAACACCAAGGTTCCTGATATTGAGAGAGTCTTCTCTGATAGCTGCCTCAAGAGATGCCAAGAAGAAGTCGGCCCAGTTACCAAGACAAGATTTGGTATCCTTCTGCGACAGGTGTTCGGGAAAGTTACCATTACAAGAGCAGGACGTGGACGCCAGAGAAGATATTTCTACAAGGAACTGGCTTGGAAAGAGTATACTATGAATGTCGAAAGCCAGATCCCAGTACACCCTCAACCAACGCCTATTGTTTGGCACGATACTGCAAGAACTGAGCTGTTCACATCTGATGACACTGATTTCAGCGCGCCTCATGATGTCGTAAATCGTATCATAGAGGATGTGGACGACGCCAACAAAGACATCAAGATAGCAGAGTTGGAGGCTGCTCTGCAAGAAGCAACAGCAACTGCTGCCAACAACCAGAGGGAGCTGCGAAGGGCTCATAACAAGATTCGGGACTTGGAGGCGTCACTAGCTAATGAGCGTGAAGAGAAAAACAGCTTATATAGAGCTTTATCACATCTCCAGGAATTGCCAACACGTGAAGCGTTATTACCATACCGTGAAGTCGAATTAACCGCATTCACTACACCATTGGGCATTCTGGGAGAAGGTGCTTTCGGGTCCGTAAAGGCATTGCGTGACCAGACTGGAGCTGAGATTGCCGTGAAGAGAATGGCATCAACAACAGACCTTGTACGAGAAGCAATCAACCTCATCCATCTTAGTGAGATAGAACATGTACAGCAGCTGATCGCCATTCCCGACTCTCACACACTGGTTACAGAGTTTGTCCACATGGACAAAAGCAGGAGATCAACCCTCGAACGTGTTTTGGATCACCAGGATTATTACCAGCTCAACAACAAGGACTACATATCCCAGTGCCTCTGCCTGACTACAACACTGATGCATATCCATTTTAGAGGAATGCTCCACAATGATATCAAAACGAACAATTACTGTCTAGTCACCAAGACAGAGGGTAAACTGATTGATTTTGGACTCTCATCATCACTTTCGGCACCTCTTATCTTCAAGGATGGACTTTCATCAGGACGGGATTGGATTGCTCCTGAGATTCAGGAAGGGTATGCAGCCTCAATCCAGAGTGACTTATACTCTCTTGGGACATTATTTAAGGACATTCGCCAGAGAACTTCCGTGAGAGGCTTGTCTGGGCTAATTTCACTCCTTCACAAGAGGTCACCAGCAGATCGTCCTTCAATCATCCAAGTGATAGACATTTTAGAGAAGTGCCTGTCCTCTCAGTAGTGATGTTATGTAATATGTGATAATATGTTAACATGATGTAATATAGTGTACTATAAAAATGTATTTTCTAAATAAACTGATCAACTGTAACTAAATATTGTTTGTTTTTTTATTTGTATCTAATAGCGATGATGGTACTTGAGTTGGATCTTCAGTTAAATATATGAAATGGCAGTTCAGTGTTAATCAAAATAGAAAAATCCTAATTACAATGTGAATATGATCAATTGATATTTTATTTTATAGTTTATTTACGTCTCACAGCAAGAATTTAATATATAATACTTAATTAACATTTTTAAAACACTGCCCCAGCCAGTGCAGCTTATGAGAGACTCATATACTTAATACATGTATAAAGTATTGCACATACAAAGTGTCAATCAACATTTTGTCATTCATGCATTGTCCACGTAGCATAAAATACAATGTACTCTAACTGAGGAACATTTTGCATAAATGTTATTTGTTTAGTGTTGCACAATTTCAATCTTATCAATAATCTTCAATACTAATTTATTTTTTCAGGTCTTGAACAATCTGAGGTCGATTCAACTCTTAAGAGTAATGACCCTTCTTGTATCAAACCCAGATGTTCAAGAGATATTGAAGAAGAAAAAATTGTGAGTGTTTTTAACTATTTAATAGAATTCAAATCATGCAGTGCATTTCCTGAATTTAACTTATCGGCCTCATTTTCCCAAAATTTCTCAAAATGTCAATTTAAAACATTTTAAAACCTGTTTTGTGAAGATTGGATAAAAATTGCAAAAGTTAGAGCAGTTTTAGTGAAAAATTCTGTGACAGATATATATGTCGCTCTGGGTTCCAAATGGATTTCATTTGTGACAGATATATCCGTCATTCTGGGTATTCAAAAGGTTAATTAAACGTCAGTCCTGAATCCGTCAAATTGAATACTTCCATTAGGCATCAGTCTAGATAAAATTTATAATTGTTATTATTCTCTAATTATTGATTATTGTTTTCAGGACAAATGTTGTCAATGTCAATGACTGCCTTTTGGTAAACCCCATTGTCACCGAGACGGGTCATCAGAGGTCAAGCAAAATAATATACAAGGGACAAACAATAACAAGTGTCCATGCTCCAAAGTATACCAAGAGAAATGATTCAATCATTGCCTACTGCATTAATAATTTGTAAGTAAGCATATCTACATATCAAAATATATGATCATCAGTAAATATATGATCATCAGTAAATATATGATCATCAGTAAATATATGATCATCAGTAAATATATGATCATCAGTAAATATATGATCATCAGTTATTAAGTGATAATTAAAATATGATTCATTGGGGAAAATATTTGATTCGGTTTCTATGATAAATGCATGAATAAATAAAATACTAACTTGATTGTACCACTTAAACCAAGCTTATATCCAGAGATTATCAATTATAGCCAGTAAATTTGTCTTGTAAACATTAAATAGATCTAACCTTATGTTTTTATATTGGTGCTTTGACATTGCCTATAAGACTATTGATTGTTTATATTATAGAGTGTTATATGCAGAGGTGCAGCATTTCCTACACATTGACGGAACAACTTATGCATCGATTAAAAACCTGGAGATGGAAACTGATGTGTGGCCGATGAAATTCCCTTTCCCCACATCAACAGCACTTAGAGAAAACACTCTTCATTACACTAAGAGAGTGCGTCAAAGGTATGAGATATGAAAGTAAAGCTTTAATAATATGGTAATCAACATGAGCTGTAGTCAGGATCAACAAAAAGGCAAGACCAATTTCAACTGACGAGGCAATTTTGATAAGAAATAATATTATCAGAAACATTATTTTCACTGTTTGAATTGAATAATATTTGAATGGAATTTTCCTCAAAAATGAAAGCTATATTAGTATTCATATGTAGCATGCTATACCGATTCAGTTTTGTATGGGTCATAAGGATAACATAAATTACTAATTTGATTTAAATTGAGATGACAATAATTATGTCTTAACAGCAACACATATACTGTATTTTCAGGAATGAAACTGAAACATTGATTGAAGTGAGAACAATTACAGAACACGTTGTGAGACTACAAGTCCATGAAAGCTCCTTAATAGTTCACATCCCAAACCATGTGGAACATGATTAGGAAAACATGTTATTCTTCAAAAATGTTAATTTCACTGTCAATAGGGTAAAAGCAAAGATCAATTTTTCTGAAAACAGGATGCTTTGAACTAAAGAAGAATGCTTAATATGCATATGAAATTAAAAGTACTACTCTCAAGTCATATCAGCTTAGTCCTTGTTTACAATAGTACTATCTTTGCTAGCCCAATTGATAGTTTATTCATGAATTTGGAGTTCAACTTGTCATTCAGCTTTTGGTGATTAAAAGCTACAGTCAGCATTTCATAGTTATACATTGTCCTATGTACACTTGAAACTGCAAATGCTAATTTATTTCACCAATCATTTATTGATTCTCTGATATCCTATTTGTAAACGGAATTTAGCCTGTCTTGTAATTTCATGGAATCTTCAAAAACAAAATCCAGATTATGTTAAATTTCACAGAGGTGTTATCGCCATAGAATCAAATCGATTTTATATTTGTTTTGTTTTGTAACTGGAGCTTTGAGATTATTATGAAACATGAGTTTTGCATCACATTTCTTTTCTGCATGACCATTAATATGTAGTCACGTTACCACAAATCACATCAATTTCAACCTGGCACCACTACCATTTTAATGGACTGGTCCATGACCCAACATCACAATCGACTGTTTCTAATAGCAACACAATTATTGGTCAAAATGGTACAGAATAACAAATTTGATTTTAAAAGAATATGTTTGGAGAATCAATAAGAGGTAAGTGAAATAACGTAGCATTTAGTTTCAAGTTTTTACAGACATCAATTTGAAAATATATTTAGCAAAAGGAACTTTTATGCCAAAAACTTGAGTGACAAATTTACCTCCAAATACCTGCATTCAATTTTATGAGAACAAAGAGACACTCAACTTTTCTGATTAAAAAGTCAGTACTAATCTTGCCTATAGCCTGATTAACTAAGATCAATCTAGGGAATGGTGAAAAATAAAAAAAAAACACAGAAACTGTAGAATCTTGAGTGTTATATTTGAAAATTTCTACAATAAGCAGTTTAAATATTTCCAGATCATCCCTATGAAATCAATCATTTTTAAAAATTGATTGCTTTAGAGATTAAAGGTAACTTACATTTTCGCCAACTTGAAGCATTTTTGATTTTAAACAGGAAGCGTACAAGATGTTTGACTGCCATCAATGAATCACAAAGTAATCTTGTGTATTTTTATTTTGTCAAAATCTGATCCTGATTAAAATATTCTAATATTCTCTGGAATAAATACTCACTGTCAATCAGCTGAGATATGTGTAGTCACAAGACATCTCACAGGATACATGTTGCAATGTCTTATTTTTGGTACATCTCAAGCCAAATCCAATTGTTCTGGAGTACGCCTATTGATGTCTGCTATTCCAGCTGTCAAACGTCCTGAAGTATCTCATTACATATATTGTTCAAACCTTTGAGAAATTATCTCATTTGCAGTTCTCAAATATTAAAATATGATTGATTTCAATAACCACATCCTGCAAGAATATCCAAATGCATATTATATACTTTTGTACATGTAAGAATTAAAGCCTTAAGGAGGCATCAAAATATCGATGTCTGTTTAGAAACTTAACTTATTAAGTTTGGGGGTGGGGGGGGGGGTCATAACTGAAAAGTTTTCCATCCAACAAAATCAATGTTTTTGAAATTTCATAATTAAGGTAAAACTAAATTAGTAAGTTTTAAACAGACATTGAACTTTTGATGCCTCCCCAGCCTTATATACCCAGCTTTTGCCAAGGGAGGCCACAGATAGTAGTATATGAATGAAAAACATTTATCAATTTTTGTATTTTAAATGTTAAATGAAGAATGTTAATAAAATAAAGTATTTGATGCAAACTATAAACATGCACATATTATAGTCATTAATTAATAATGTTACCAGCTAATGTTCGATGAGCTCTGAAAGATTATTATTATATAAGGCTTATTGAGAATTATACCATATGTAAATAAAACAACTGTAAATATTAGAGCATATTTAAGTCCCTCTATTTTCTCTAAGATGTGCTACAATGCATGTAAAACCATGTAACTACCCTTTCCCACATTCCTCCACAGTGTGAAAAATGTGGGGAAGTTAAGTAAAAATAAGATGAGAGTTACTTCATTTCCCCACATTTTTCCACAGTCACCCACATTTTTCCCTGAGGTAAAAGTGTGTAAAAACAAGAATGCCATCTCCTGTTTTTACCTAATTTTCCATGCCACACATGGGAGGATTGAGGTAAAAGTGTGTAAAACTAAGTGAGAACATGTACCCTTTTTCTCCACGCATGTCAAAACATGGGTTTTTTCCTAAGGGATTCCATTAAGAAAATGGCAAATATATTTTTGAATTGCATTCTCATCAAATTGAATCATTTCTAGACGTTAGAACGATTCCGTTAGCTCATTCAAAATTTAGATTGTGAAATTTTTGGTCACCGTATAAATAAAATTTTTAATTTTATTTCAGGGAAACTATGTCGGGACTACAGTCATGAATGCGGCCGCCTTGATTTTTGTTATTCAAGACTGCATACGAAAGAACTCTGCCCCAAGACGTGTGGATTCTGCAATTTTGTGTATGACATTTGAAATCCTCAGCTGTCCTTGATTGACCATTGTGGAAATATAGACACTGAGTAACTTAAAGACAAGAATCTTACTTACTTTTAAAGCAGCACTTGTAACTCTTTAGTCAATAAAATCATTATTGAACTATAGTTCAGTTACAAGGAGAATCAGATCGATTGTCGATTTTTTCTTTTCGCGGAAAATTGTTATCTCATTGTCCGTTGACATCATCAACCCAGTGATTTACCATAAGATATCAACCAACATTTCCTAATTAGAAAGTCTGGCTTGCCGTAACTTGACTTTTTAAAACAAAACAGTAGGACACAATTACATCATCGAGCAAATCAAACATGATGTATAAATACAATGAATAAACATTGTCATTAAAGTACATTTTTGAATAAAAGTATCATGACCAACTTATTACACTGCACACAAATACAAAAGTATAACAAAAAATGACTTTTTGCATCGTAGCAGACCCCATACAAAACAAACCTCGCAGGTGGGAAGTTTAAACATCGATCAATTGGGCTGAATTTTTTTGTGGTCATATAGTAGATCATTTCGTCAAAAGGTAAGGATGATCCGAGGAAAAAGTTCTCAAAATTAAGCACCCTATAATAGATTTCATTATGTTACATTATACTAAATTGAAAAGGTATATTTTAAATATGTGGAGTCCTATATTCTAGAGTAATAAGTGAATTACATTATCAAGTTACAATCGGAGATGTTTTAATTGATTTCTTTTCAATCTATACAAGTTATTAATTGTGTGCTGCAATTGAACTATTACCATTCAAGAGATGGTCACTACATTGACGATGTGTACAATTTTCAGAATTTTTTATGACTGGTTTAAGAAGAACATGTGTTCAATTCAGTTTGCCATATCAATACCTGCTATCGTTTGATAATTAAATAAAATGAGTAAGTATTAAATTGAATATACAAAAGGAGCACACGCGTCTTACATGTGTGCTTATTTAGATGCACTGTTTAATCCACCATGACAGACCAACATATTCAGATTTGAAGTTTAGTTAAAATACCTCATATGATTCTTTTGATTCATATGACTGTTTATCCATTTTATCTTATCAGGTACTTGATATTTACCTATCATTTCAGGGAATAAACCTAATTTTGTTTACTGGAAGTATTTTTCTAGGACTAAGACACAGTACAGAACTCAGCGGCAGATCTGGAAATCAACAAGGGGGGTGAAATTTCCGGTCAGAGAAAAAAAGTTGGGCCGAAATTTTGAAATTTTGAGCCCCATTGTCTTCAGAAATTGTCCTGAAATAAAAAAAAAAATAAGGCCTTAAAAGGCCCAGTTATGACCAAAAAGGCCCTTTTTGGGCCTTGAGGCCTTTTTTGTTTCCAAAATATTTTGGGACCCATTTCTGTTCTGGGCCCATTTAAGGGGGGTAGCGGGCCCCAGATCAGCCAATGGAACTAATGGCGTTGGCCTTATTTACAGGTCTGAGCTTTACATGTAGTATACACGTGAATTGTAAGCGACGCGTGTTGACCTTTCTTCGCAAAACACATAAAGTTTGAACTTCAGAGTTCATCTTATTTGACACCTCTGAGGTGAATGCCGGTGGGAACATTTTTTACGTTTTTATATTAAACGTTTTCAATAGCTTGAAACACAATACGAGGGGGAGAAACCCAAGGGTTAATGACATACGCTTATAATATAAATCTGTACTGAGATGACATCGCCGCTGATTGGTTTAGCGAGCCGATCGTTGATTGGTTTAAAACTAGGTAAATTTGAACACTTTGAAAACCAAGATAAAGGGTAGCTATTCCGGTGTAAAAGAAATTATGGTCCCCTGGGGATTATGGTCCCCTTTCCCTAAAGCCCTTTCTGGCCCTGACTGTGTATAAACAATAAGGAAAATAATTGTAATTAGGTCACCATATAAATCAGTAGAGAGTAAGACCAAAATTTGATAGGACCATCTACCCTTTTACACCGGGAAAGGAGATGCGCGAAGGAGGAAATCCTATGTCATCAATTGAATCATTGGGTTTTCCCTCCTCTTAAACACAATAAAATCTTGAATCTAATCAATGTGCCTTGTTTCCAAGATGCTGTCTCTAATACTCAATTTTTCCTTAACTATCATCTCCAAACTACTGATCCCTTCTCCGAAATATCTGGAATGATAAAAATAATGAAACTAAAGGCAGCATATCGCCAATTAAAATATGGTGCGTCAACTGAAGCATTCATTGAAATGTTTATGCCTCGCAATACTAGAAGTATTATTTATTACCAAATAATTATCGTGAGATTGCGTTATCAAGTGCAATGAGTAAATTGTTTGCGGATATTTTGAATAAAAGAATGGAAGAATTCATAGAGTCGCAAAATATAATTCATAGAGAACAAATCGGGTTTAAAAAGAATTGCCGAACTGCAGATCACTTATTGATATTGAAACAGTTAATTGATAACTACGTGACGGTAGGGAAATATTTATATACATGCTTTGTAGATTTCAGAAAAGCCTATGATAGCATACCCAGGCCACTTTTATTGCAGAAATTAAAAAATCTAGGCATGGGAGTCAAAATATATGATATAATCGATAACATGTACTCAAGTGTCATATACAGAGTAAAACTTAAAAACGGGTTAACAAGTCCAATACACTCTAAATTAGGATTAAAACAAGGCTGCTTAATCAGTCCTTTATGTTTCAACTTATATATAAATGACATGATAGATATTTTTGATGACCAATGTAAGCCTGTCAAAATCAGTAGTAATGATGAAACGTTAATAAATGTACTCTTATATGCGGATGATCTGGTCTTGATATCAGAAACAAATGAGGGACTACAATACTGTCTTGATAAACTAAAAACATATTGTTCAAAATGGAAATTAAATATAAATATTGAAAAAACTCAGGAAAAATAATAAAGCACAGTCATTTTAAATTTGGAAGTATAAATATAGAAAGAGTAAATGAATATAAATATTTGGGATTTGTTTTAAAAAGCTCTGGGAGTTTGAAACATGGCATATCAGAATTAAGCAAGAAGGCGTTGAAAGTTATTTTTATGATGAGACAAAATTTTTAGTTTTCAACTATCAATGTAGAATTGCACACAAAAATCTTTGACATGTGTGTTAAGCCTATATTATTATACGGAAGTGAATTTTGGTCAATGCTTCACTTGAAAGTTGACAGAAGGATTAGTCAAGGGGACCTTAAACTAGAGAGTTCTTATGAAGACTTTATTCCTGAAAAAATACACAATAAATTTTGCAAATTCCTTTTAGGGGTTAACAAATATACTTCAAGTTATGCCGTCAAAAAAGATTTAGGAAGATTTCCATTAGCCATAGACTCACTTATATATTCCATAAAATATTGGTTGAAATGTGTGCATCAAACAAACGCGGATAGCTTAATAAATATATCATTTCGGGATAAAAAATAACATATATGTCAAACATATGGAATGCATATTAAAGTACTTTCATTTTCAACATGTCTTTGAAAATGGGAGTACGTTTGGAATAAAACGATTACTAAAAGCAATTAAACTTGAAATGCAAAGAAAATATATAGAACATAATGATAGAGCCATAAGGGAAAATAGAAAACTTGGAAATTATATAAAAATTGATTACAATCTGGAAAGATATTTAACATTAAGCGTGAACAAAATGTTAATTTTTAAAATGGCCAGGTTTAGATTAGCAAACCATAATTTAAGAATTGAAACAGGGAGACACGAGAAAAAGAAAAAAGATGGCACTAAACAGCATCGACTTGAAATAAATGAAAGAATTTGTCAGATTTGCAATAAGGGGGAAGTAGAGGATGAAAAACATTTTCTTCTTGTGTGTGATGGCTATAAAAATGTAGATTTGAATTTTTTAATAAACTAAGTTTTATTGACACATTTGATAATATGTCGGATGATAAAAAAATATAACTTTTTAATGACTTCTGATGATTTTGAAATTGTTAACGAATTGATACATTTTATAAATAAACTTTTTAATCAGCGTCGGGAGCTATTTGAAAAAGGAAAAAATAGATTGTATGATAGTATTTGTGAAACAATGCATGGTGTTTTTTAACTGTATAATTATATGTAAATGTCTTGTAATTGATTTTGTGAGGAAACCAAGTGTTTGGTTTGAAACACAATAAAATCTTGAATCTTGAATCCTTGCAAAACTAGGAACTGGAACATTAAAACTACACATTGAAACAGGCCTTTATACCAATACACCCAGGAGGAACAAAAATGTGACACTAATGCATGAGATTTAGGATGCGATACACTTCATTCTCATGTTCTCTCACGCTCGCCGTTAACATTGATACTCGTACAATTAATGGTTATTCTGTTTACAAGACGTATATACATGACTTAATCGAGAACCGTTGCAAGCAGATTTTTACATTACCTGTATTTGTAATTACTCCAGAACAGCAAACTGTAATGAATTGTCTCATATTCTATTTTGTTATAAGTACAGAAATATTGTCTGTCGATGTTCAATTATATATTTAGTATGACTGGATGGACTGCCACTTTACAGCACGTTTCACACACTATTTAAAATTGTGATGCTTTCATTACTTAAGATGCAAAAACATCTCCGTCATAATTTATAGCATTAATGCAACTCCGTATATCAACTGTGATGTGAGGGACCCCGGGGGGGGGGTATCGGGCCAACCAGAGGACCCTTACATCACCGATTGGTCAGAGTTTCTTTTTCCACTTATCTACTGGAACATCAAACTTTTAGTAGAAGAAAAGGAACAATGAACTCAATATTATATGGTCTTTATCACTTTTTATTTTTGAGCATTTAGTAAATCCTCATTGGAAATTGTACTATGTACAATTTGATGTCCCGAAATCCGGAATCGACTGGAAGAGATGTTTTTAGAAATGTTTAAATGCATTTTAATATATTATTATTGCTTCTGATAGAGAACTAAACTATATCAAACTTTAATGAAACTATTATTATAATAGAAATTATACTTCTTATATTTACAAGAATATAAAAGAAAAAATGAAAAAAGTGACATCTCGAGGATAAGTTTACAAGGTTGCAGTCTGGCCAGTGAACTATTGAACCTAGGGAACCAAAATTGCTTTCAAGAGACCAATTAACGACCATTAATAAGGAACTGCATTGTTCAAGTTGAATGCGCACCACTTAAAGAGAACTAGTAGAGTTGTTTACGTATGTGTTGTTTATATATACGCCTCTCTGCACGCAAAAACGCGCAAAAACAGGCGCAAAATCTACAAAAAGGCGATCTTCCTTGGTTTTTGTCAGATGTGTTTTGGCAATCACACTAAGATGGAAGGCTTTACATGGACACTCGCCGTTTGTGCATTGTTAGTTATTGGATCCACCGCAGATGAAGGTATGTGTTTTTATTTAAATCACTGACAACGTCAACAATATGTTTTGCAAGATGAATTGCGTATTCCTTGATGAATGTGGAATGTAATGCGATTTAAATCATACACCATTTGACTAGGAATTACTAATAAAAATTTTAAACTGAGAGTTTAATTTATTTTTGTAATGAATAAAGAAAGTTTTGTCAATTGAAAATGCATTTTTAATAAGCTATTTATGTATTTACACGAATCTATGACAAAAACAATGTAAAAATTTCACACGTGCGAAATAGATACTATTGAATTTAAAAGTGTCTTAACTTTCAAAAAAATGAATTCAGTTTCATAAAAATGTGAGTTGGGACATTGTTATTCTGATAGCGCGATATACAGGGCGTCCACAAAAATGTGTACCTGAATTCAAAACCAGATTACTAGTATCCTAGGCACATTTAACAGTTAAAAGCCTAATGTGTCCCTGATCAAATAGTACTTGTCCCCCGAGAATAACAGTCTTCATTTCAAAACCTATCAAAATACTTTTTGTGGAGAACTACCATAATATAAACACAGGGCGTTCACAAAAAGTAAACCAAAATTCAACTTCAAATTGGATTGACACGATGAATGTTTTTCGTTGTTCATGACAATCATACCACGTGACAATCATACCACGTGACCTAAAGGGGGACTTCCTGTTTCCAAACCTATGGCGGGAATGTAACAAATTTTTATTTTTTAGATTGCAAAGATGATTATCTCTCTTGCGTTATATCCAAGGACAAGAATAGTCTTTATTGCAATCATGACTGGATAAGACTAGGACTCCATTGCGCGAAGAGCTGCGGCAGGTGTACTGCCAGCGAGCAGACGCCAACTGGTAAGTGAAATATACTGTAAATTAAAAAACGGAAATTAAAAATAAAAAGAATTATGCATTTAAATGGGTAAACTTATTATTTCAATTCATCCAGAGTTGTACCAGATATGGAATTATAATACATTACTTCAAAGACGCAAAACTCCCAACAAGTTCATGTAGGTAGTGAATCAACATCGGAAAATTTGAAATGTGTATATTCAAAAAAATGTTAACTAAGTATCATCAAACGAAAACCAGGCAAAAAGCTTGAATGTATTCGATGACATATTACATTCATTGTGAGAAACAAAAATGATTCACTGAAAACAAGTCTGTATTTATGCATGCTTTGACAAAAGTATTTTTATGTTTATGCTAGTAGGGTCGTTTAATAAATACCAGTGCAAATTGAAATGGGTTCATTTTCTTCTAAATATTTTAAAAGTTACATTGACTATTCGATGTTACTCTAGCTGCTATCTTGATACAGGGTGACGTAGGCGAACGATTATTCGGAGAAAAAATCGTTGAGAGTTCCCTTTAAGAAATTTCCTCGACTCAATTTTGAAATTGCAAGAAGTCTATGTCGTATATCTTAAATCTAAGTTATCATCCTTATCATCTTTACGTCATATGCCTTTGTTTCAGTCTGTGAGGACCAATTTACGGAATGTGCTCTATATAAAAGCTTGGGTGAAATGGATTGTGGCAGATCGGCCGTTAAGGCGGCTTGCAGGAAAACATGCAACGCTTGCGACCTTAGTGAGTAAACCACCTTTTTATTGAACATGCGTTTGGCAAATTTAAAAAATTAATATGTTAAGGTAAAGGAAGGTAAGGTTAAAAGTAAGGTACATATAAATTCAAGAAAATATTCATAATATCATATTTTTCTCTACGTCCGTTGTTGAATTGCCAAGAGTCAAACAGTAGATGATTATTTGTGTTATACAGCATAGTTACCAATATGATTGAATATTGACTTCGGTTAGCATAGTTACCGACATGATTGAACATTGACTTCGGTTAGAGATTAACAATGAACCTTGGGATTATGGGAAATATCTCTACAATTGCCAAGAGTCAAACAATAGATGATTATATGAGCGCAAGTTCACTGCATGTGACAGTCAATGTTAAGCATTGAGCAATCTTCGTTTGTGCCATAATGTTGTGGATAGCTTCCCAACTCTTTGTTACAACTGTATATTCTTAAAAATAAATTACAGTTAAGTCTATTATGTTGTAACCTAACTGGGGCTTGATTTAAAGGACGTTATACCCCGTGTCATAAACATATTTATCCCATACTTGGACGTGTTACGGGTACATAAAGCCGGTTTGTAAAAACTTATATTTTCATCAGCAGGCAGGTATAGCTTTACGTCCCGCTCCGAGCGGGCAGATATAGTTATCTGCCCGCTACGTCATAATCGCTGTTCCCGTATTGGTTCTTTTTTTGTAACGTTCGCATACTGTAAAGGACATGGAGAAAAACGCAAACAATCGCGATCTGTTTGATGCTTTAGAGAAGGGCCAACATACGGCCCTCGGGCAGATATATTATATTGGCCTCGGGATAATCACAATATCCTGAACCTCATATAGGATAATCTCTATATCTTCGAATGTACCTACAATGGCCCTTGCCTGTTTCTAAAGGGTTTAGAGCCAAATAATAGAAACGATTGTTTGTTCCATAGTAACTTCAAAATGCATGGGATATTTTTCAAAACAGAAACGGTATATTTGTAATTAACGGAACATGTTTTACTTAAACTCAAAAACCTAGTCAAGTTTAGGGTTCATCTTCTCGAGCTTCCGTAAATCATATCCAGTTACCATTGCGTGACATATGATTGTCTGTGAAACGCTTTCCTCGTATTGCTTTTTACTCGGTTTTATTCGTATAAAATAGAGTTAGATACTCCACAAAATGAAATAAATGAAATAAATTCAGTTTTCTAAATAATATTAACGTTTGTTACAGGTGTTCCGAACAGGCGAGAACTCGAAGCGGTTGAACCGTATCGTCCAGTTTGTAGGGACTTTGCAGGTCGTTGGTGTTCGCAAAATAAGGAAAACAACCGTCTAAACTGTGGTGTGAGCTTCATAAAAAGAAGATGTGAAAAGAGCTGCGGGGTTTGTGAAGACACAGGAGAGACATGTGAGTTGGTTGGTTGCATATTCCTTCTCAGGAAATGCCCGTAGGCAATTGAGGTATTTACCAACTGACTTTCAAAAGGCCGACACACAAGTGTTTACAAGGTGTCACAACGGTAAAATATTTTCAATACTTTAAAAACGAAGCCATACCAACTTCAATGGTGTGTATAGTAGGTTCCAGTATATGTACTGTGGTGATTTGAGGTATGTACATATGTAAAGCTTGTATGTAAAGCTGAGACCAAGTACTTTCTAAATGTGCCATTTTTAGAAAAATCGCAAGAATATAGTCCGGTAAACGGGAACTTTATTCGTTAAATTTCATCAGTGAAGTGGGGATTCTAATTAAAAATGAGTCCATATGTTGGCGTAGTGATATTTAAAATCAAGACGCAAACCCTATGTTAAATATAGTGTCAAGATGAAGGTTATTTATAGGGGAACGCAGAAATATAGTCATTGTATTGGCTAATTCGTTCGAAAATGGCGATATGTACGCCAGAACTTGAATTTTGTGATTTTTTCAATATTTTTCAATGATTTAACGTAGTTGCACCACAGTCCCCCAAACGATAAACATTGAGGTCAAAGCCTCATTCTGAATTTTAATCACGTGACGTCATAAACGGAGAACAAAATTTAAATTTGAGAAATCAGAACATTTTTATTCTATTGAAATCACATTTCAATGAAGGTCTTACACAATGAATATTTTTTAAACCCTTGTAACATGATTTTAACTCTTCGATGGATAATACTACCATATTAACAGAAAACACAGTAGACGCTTTACAATTTAGCTTTATGTGATAAAGGACGAGTCGTTAAGGGGATGAGTTGTCTTGGTGATGCGTTGTCCAGTGTATGAGTTGTCCAGGGTATGAGTTGCCTAGGGAATGAGTTGTACAGGGGATGAGTTGTCAATGTGATGAGTTGTCTAGGGGATGAACTGTCCAAAGGATGACTGGTCTAGAGGATTAACTTTCCAGGAGATTTGTTGTCTAGGGGATGTTTTGTGTAGGGAATGAGTTGTCCAGGGGATGAGTTTTCTAGGGGACGAGTTTTCAGGGAATGAACTATCCAATGGATGGATTATCAAGGGAATGAGTTGTCCAGGGGATGAGTAACACAGGGGATGGGCTGTCTAGGGGATGAGTTGTTCAGGGGATGGGTTGTCAGGGGGATAAGTTGTCCATGGTATTAGTTCTTTGGGATGAGTTGTTCAGGAGATGAGCTGTCACGGAGATGAGATATCCAGGGGATAATTTGTCCAGGGAATGAGTTGTCTAGATGCTGAATTATCAATGGTGATGAGTTGTCAAGGAGATGCGTTGACAATGTGATGAGTTGTCTAGGGGATGAACTGTCTAAAGGGTGACTGGTCTAGAGGATTAATTTTACAGGGGATTGGTTGTCTAGGGTATGAGTTGTATAGGGGATAATTTGTGTAGGGGATGAATTGTCTAGGTGATGAGTTGTCAATGGTATGAACTGTCTATACTAGGGGACTTCTTGTCAAGAGGATGAGTTGTCTAGGAGATGAGTTATCCAGGGGATGAGTTGTCTGAGTTGTCCGACTAGTAAGCCTTTTTAGTACTTCCTAGTTTTAAAATGGTGTCATCTATATGAATATGGAAATTCATTTTTTACGTTATGTGGTATTTTTATCTTGCTAATCGTTGACGGATGTTTTTGTTTCAGTGTGTGAGGACCAAAAATACTATTGCCCAATGACTGCATTCTCTGACATGTGTGACGACGCATCCATTCAACAGCAGTGTCCTAAGAGCTGTGATATTTGCGGAAGTGGATTTGCAGATAAGATCAGTAAGTCGTAGCTAGAAATAAAGACAAAAAAACAAGTCAGATTTATGCTTCCAAGTTTCCAAAATAAAATCAATATATTGATTATTATACCACTCTAAGTCCAATTACAGTTGTATAACATGGGTCTATAACAACGATATACAGTGGAGAGTGTTATATCGTCATCGTATACAACTCCTCCGTATACACTCCAGCGTATACCACTATAGAAGTGAATTCTGGGAACTAATGAATAAAAAAATCATGAAAATTTTCATGATTTCCTAGAATCAAGTGATGTCATAAATGGTTCCGGCATGATTTGCTAGAATCAAGCCACGTCATAAATGGTTCGAGATCAACATCAGCATTATTGAGTTGGCTATGGGATATTTTATGGTTTTTAATTGTTATGATTGTGTTGGTAACTGGTCAACTCAACCCCAAGTCAACTCAACCCAAGTCAACTCAACCCTTAGTCAAGTCGACCCCAAGTCAACTCAACCCTTAGTCAACTCGACCCCAAGTCATCTCAACCCTTAGTTAACTCGACCCCAAGTCATCTCAACCCTTGGTCATCTCAACCCTTAGTCAACTCGACCCCACCATATTTAAATATCTATAAAAACAAATAGATGTACCTTTCATGGTATGATATTCACGCCCGGTGATCGTACTAAATGGATGGAAGGGGGATTAGGTGATTTCTGCAAGAAAACTCAACAAATTTGGAAGATTTATCTTTTCAAGAGAAAATTTACAACTGAATTGCCGAATGAATAGGTGCAGTGCATGGCAAAATATGTTAGGCCATCTAGTATTTTTTGGAACTGAAACCCTTCTAAGATATGAGATCTATTAAAAAAGGCGCATCATCATAAATGTGCAAAAGTCAATGTTTTTGCTATAAATCGGGCAACAAAGGTTTACACGACCTGTAATAAATAGGTATAAGGGACGTTATTATCACAATACTAATGACATTGCTCACTTTTTAAAGTTAGTTTTCATGCGTTATACAAGAAATAATCGATATTGGATGGAGGGGGGATAGGATGGAGGGGGGATTTATATGTCTTTACGATGGAACAAATTCACAAGAACTCGTGTATTTGAAAAAACTAAACTCAGTACCCAGTAAATCAAAAAGTCAAATTAAAAACAGTATATTTTCTCAATGTAATAAACTTTTTGAATTAGAGAAGAAATTCTTTGCATTAATCAAATAGGATTCAAATAGGAATGTTTACCTTTACCATGATTATCTATTATAGATTTATTCCTTTAATAATTCATATACTATCAAAATATTTAACGAAATTCTATCAAAATATAATGATATATTATATGATAATGTATTTTAACCTACTAAAAACAAGTGAAATCATCGGGGTCGAGTTGACTAAGGGTTGGGTTGACCAAGGGTTGAGATGACTTGGGGTCGAGTTGACTAAGGGTTGAGATGACTTGGGGTCGACTTGACTAAGGGTTGACTTGACTTGGGGTCGACTTGACTAAGGGTTGACTTGACTTGGGTTGAGTTGACTTGGGGTTGAGTTGACCAGGAAGCATTGTGTTCGTATCAACTGTAATTGAACTCAGAGTGGCATAATAAGATTATATAATGGTTCATTCTGTATATCGTGCATTTTATACTCTCGTGAGAATATAATAAACAACAACCAAACATGAAATTATTAAAGTAATCGAATAAATGCGTATCATCTAATGTAAAGTATATCAACGCTCTATGAAAAACAGTATAAAATGTTGTATTATGCTTCTTGTTTTATTTAAACCAACTCTTCGTTGTTTGGAAGATAAAACATATCTATACTAGTATATAGATCATCATCAGCCTGGTCAACTCAACCCCAAGTCAACTCATCCCAAGTCAACTCAACCCTTAGTCAGGTCGACCCTTAGTCAACTCAACCCTTAGTCAAGTCAACCCCAAGTCATCTCAACCCTTGGTCAACTCAACCCTTAGTCAACTCGACCCCATCATATTTATTATCTATAAAAAATTAGATGTATCTTTCATTATGATATTGATGAATTTTGAAAGAATTAGGGAAAAATTAGAAAGATATATGAATGAAATGTTAAGTAATTTTCTGAATTATAGATTTTGAAAAGTTAGGTGAATTAATTCGAAAACATTTAATTATATTGGTTTTATCTAGATAAGTTTATGCTCAACACTTTTAATTTAACAATTTTTCAGAATATGACACTTATTTACCACTGTAATTCTTGATTGATATAGTTTAACAGAGTTAATCTAGCCTATCTTAATAGGACTATTCACGAAGATATTCATATATTTCACCCCTTCTATGTGTAAAATGGCTGGCCATTGGATTAACTTTCACATATGAATTTGTTTTAAAAAGTAAATACATTTCTATCATTTCTATATTGAAATCTCTTTAATTAAAAAAGTTTTAAAAAATCAATAATATATTATTATTTGATTTTCATTATCCTACTCAAATATTTGATTGTTTGTTTATTCTTTATTTCCTCCATAAATATGGAGTTAAACAAATATAAATGATTTACAAGGTTAATAACATACAACATAACAGGATTTTATGATCCAGTTCAAATCTTCCTTCTGATCTATATGCAAAATAAATCTTTACTTTTTAAATAAAATTTGAAATCAAGACTGCACATAAACAATGGGATTCATGATTTTGTAAAAAAGGACAAGTCTCTGTTTGGAGAAAAAAGTGCATCAGTCTACTGCACATTGTGCCTGCTCGGACAATTTTGATATCTTTACATATTGTAGATTTAAATGTTCTCTTTTGAATATCCATAATTTAATTTGAGTGTTATTTCTATATCTTTTATAAAAAATATTAGCGCAGTAGACTGATGATCTTCGTTCTCCAAATAACCAGACTTGCCTTCAATTGAATCGGTCTACTGCAAGTTTCGCATGCTTCGGAGAATTTCGATATTTTTACATATTGTAGATTCAAATGTCCTCTTTTGGATTTATTCATAATATAATTTGGGCCTTATTTCTATATTTTTCGTAAAAGAATATTAGCCCAATAGACTGTTCTCCAAACCGGGACTTGTCTTTTGCTAAATTAGGGAAGACATTCCTTGCAGTAATCAAGTAGAATTTAAATAGGAAAGTTTACCTTTACCATGATTATGTATTATTGATTCATTCCTTCGATATTTCATCTACTATCATCTTACTAACTGCTATTAAAATTTAATGATACATTGTATGAATAATCTATTCTAACCTACGAAAAACTAGTAAAATCATTGGGGTCGAGTTGACTAAGGGTTGAGATGACTTGGGGTCGAGTTGACTAAGGGTTGAGATGACTTGGGGTCGACTTGACTAAGGATTGACTTGACTTGGGTTGAGTTGACTTGGGGTTGAGTTGACCAGGAAGCGTAAGGAAAAGACCAAAAATAAATAAATAAATTTAGTTCCACAAATGTTTTAAGGTGTTATTTGTGTAGATATACGAGGAGAGGAGAATAATACCAAATTGTGTATTACTGTACATGCATTTTGTTCCAAGATGCTCATTGATAGAAATACAACAAGTTGACACAATATTCCCTTAAGTCCAATTAAATCCTCAGAGCATTTCATGTTTCGGATGTTTAAGACCATTACTATTTTCAAAGTTATTTAATTTTCTCTTAAGGGATTTAATAACTTTGCCATTATTTGAAAGAAGTATTACATCCACACACACATTTTCAGAAGTCGATTTACTAATCGCTTGTCTTTGATAAAAGAACTTACAAATTCATATTTTCGGATTGCATGTAATTCAAATGTGTAGGTTATATCTTGGATTATGACTATTTTCTGACCATGAGGACAGGTATACATGTATATCTTTTATCTATTCATTATTTTCAGGATCAGGAAATATTCATTATTCAAGTTACAATCGTCTGAAATTGATAGCGATAATCTACGTGTTCCTTTCCCGACGTAATCATGATTTCTTTAAATTATTTCACAGTTAAATTGTGCGTGACATATAAGTCACTGAATAAATATTTTGTTTTTTTCAGGAAAATTATGTCGGGACTACAGTCATGAATGTGATCGCCCGGGTGACTTTTGTTTCTCAAGGCTGAATGCAAAGAAACTCTGCCCGAAGACATGTGGATTCTGTAACTTTGTTTATGACGAATGAAGTCCTCAGCTGCCCTTGATAAACCATCGTGAAAATATAAACAATGAGCAACTAGAAGACTCCGACTTACTTACTTTTAAAGCAGCACTAGTTATCGTTTAGTAAAATGAAATTATTATCAAACTATAAATTGATCAGTTCAATTAAAGGGAGAATCAGATCATTGTTTCGATTTAAGACAATTTTGGCGCAAGTCTTTCCTTGACATGTTTATTTTCCTAAAAATCCACAAATTGCATACATTATTTCGGCAAAACTAAAGATTATACATTGTTTTTCTATAAATATGGTTACCATATTCATCCTTATTATTGCATCACCAATTTATAACATTTCGTGGAACTTTTGAAAAGTAATGTATTTTAGATTGTACTGAATAGATTAAAAGGTCAGTTGTACATGCAATTTTGACACCTATATATATCTGATTCTGCGTTTAATAGGCTAGTTGCACATGCTCAAAATATTGTTACCCCTATACATGTATATCTGATTCTCACGGGGACTATCCAGGCACAACTGACATCGTGAGAAATGCGCTCATGTTAGAAGCGGGGCCTTGACAATATGATAGAATTAAAATATAAAATGTTCTACTCAATACAACTCTATTTCACAGTACACGTCTGGTTATTTCAAGTGCAGGGCAACAGCGTTCTATATTCTATATTTTATCATATCTCTCAAGGTCCCTAACACAGCTCATTGCTCGCGATGCCTGCGGGAACTTGCTCGCGATATACGGGGCCTGGATAGTCACCATGATTCTGCTCTTATGAAAACCACATAATCTTACACATTTTAAATTCCGTGATTTCGCATTTTCTGTTAATTTATAGAATAATTTTGACTAATAAATTGATTCTTATTCACCAATCGGTTTGCAAGTTCAATGAATAAACAGCGGTAGTCACGTTCTACATACATGCAATAGTTGAAGCATATATTATGAACATAAAAAGCGCATGTGTCTAGATGGGGAAACACCAACACTGCATTACAATAAACACTTAAGATGAACTAACAGATCATTATTTGAACATTAAACACTAAAATAATCAAATTGAATACTCTATGTCATAGAGGAACATAGGTTCTGGGCGATATAAAGATGGCAGCACCAACAGAAGCCTATGGTGGGGAACGTTGGTCAGGTAAATAATTTCAAAACGTTGCAGTGAGGATCAGAATTAAATTGGAATGGTTTAGTTGAAAGAAAGGGTTTCCATGCACCCAATCTTAACACATTTTTAATTACAATTTTTAGACAAATAGGATATCTTTTTTGAGAATTTCGATGTAAGCATTGCCATCTCGTGTCCCGTGGTGCCCGTTATTGAGAGGTTACCCTCCACCCAAGAGCGCATTTTTATCGCACCCTGGGTGTTTTTATATTGTAATCAGTTTGCCGGGCTGGCTGTTGGGCGGGCGTCCCGATAAATCGTGTCTATATTTTTCCTGCCAAATCGTTACAAGGATTAATTTTAAATGTCCATGGATGTTTCTACGGATGGAAGTTTAGATGGTAAGTTTTTCGTCATGTTCGAATCGTAATATATACCTCGGAGCAGGTGTAATGTAGTCGAATACACCTTTTAGGGCTATGCACAAAAGCTTTCTGAGCTAACTTACAGAAAACATTTGTGCCTAGCACTGCGGGGTATTTTGACAGTAGGGAGTTTATGCTTGCAAATAAAATTGAAACGTCAACCTATACAGTGCGTATCAAAAAAAACGCAACAGATTATTATCTTGGAAAAGCACAAAACCAGTGATGACAGCATTGATTTCATTCAATGCACCATAAAGCCACATGTCTCCTCTTTGCAATGATATATCATTCATTGACATTTGGTAATGGTTCGGTGAGTAATCATTCCATTTGCAAAGTGGGCCAAAATTAGCTTCGGTCCAAGTTATAAACATTGCAAAAGTCAGTGTACGGAGCCCGATGCAATATTGGACAAAAACATAAAATCAATGCTTACTGCATCCTTTTAATTCAATGTACCAAAAAGCCAAATTACTCCTCTTTGCAATGGAATATCATTCATTCACAGGGGGTCATCTCTGGCCGAATAATCATTAATTTTGCAAAGTGGGGCAAAATTCAGCTCGGACCCAAGTTTAAAACATTGCAAAAGTCAGTACAAGGGGCATAGGGGCTATTGGAAGAAGGTGTGACAGGTATGGCATAGACAGTAAAGTGTTCATACTCATACTCTTGCAAGAATGCATCCTATAACCCCTCCAAATTGCCACCACTTCCTTGCACATAAAGATGCGCTCATCTGTCCACATCATGCATGGTTCAGCTCTGAATCATGTGTGGGTTAAAGCAAAGAAAAGCAGCCCATGGGCAAATCTTTCTCGAGGTTTTGCAATATCTGGTGGAGGAATTGTGAGCACAGATGCTCCTGAGATAGCTCCAAAAGAAAAAGTCACAACAATTCAAGTCAGGGGAACTTCCATTGGCACTTAGCCCTTGCACTGATTTTTTTCAATATCTAAAACTTGGCGCAGAGCCGATTTTTACCCACTGTGCAAATGGAAGGATTTCCCACCCAACCATTACCACATGTGAATGAATGACATATCATTGCAAAGAGGAGAGACATGGCTTTACGGTACATTAAATGAAATTGATGTAGTCATCACTAGTTTTGTGATTTTACGAGATAACTGCGTTTTTTTGATACGCCCTGTACGTATATGACCAATCAGCCATACAAATGCATCGCTTAAATATTTTCCGTTCACGTTTAGGTTGTGAAAAACAGAGCAAACTCCCTAATATTACACCTGCTCGTCGGTCTATATCTCTTAAAGAGGGAGATGGGGTATAAATAGGAGGCAGACTAATGGAACAGCCAAAATAACTGGATTTTTGATATTTTCACAAACCTGTTCAATTTTCATATTGATTGAGAAAATGTATTGCTTCAGATTTTGTTATGTGTATCTTTCAATATTTTGATGTTATATGTTTATGTTTATGTATCTTTATTGCCTCCATAATACATTGGAGAGTACATTTCAAACGCGATTGAAGAAAATAATGAAGACCTGAACAACCAAATTAATAAAGTATGCAAAACATGGAGTAACCTGATTATAGTTGGAGACTTAAATTACCCCAATATCAACTGGGAAACAATAACCTCCTCAGATAGTAAAAGTCACCCAGCACACAAGTTCATAGACTGTATAAACGACAACTTCCTGATACAGCATGTAACAAGCCCAACTAGATCCAGAGGGACCACCACACCTAGCATATATGATTTGATTTTAACAAAACATGAAATTACAGTTGAATTCTTTGAACACCTACCAGCATTAGGACTGAGTGACCATGAGTGTTTGCTAATCAAAACTAACTACAAAAACCAAAAGGGTAGCAATAAAAAATCAAAAGCAAAACTAGCCTATGATAAAGGAAACTACCAGGAAATGAACAAATTAATAAAAGAAACCGAATGGGAAGAACAACTCAACAGTAAATCTATGGAAGAGAGTTGGACCTATTTCAAAACAGTGTACGAAAATGCCATCGATCAATGCATACCGAAAATGTACCCCAGGAAAGACAAGCGAAGAAGCAAATACATTAATAAGACTGCAATAAAAATGAGTAAAAAGAAATATAGATATTGGAAAAAACTACAAAGCAGCTAGGACAGACACAAACCTAAAGCAATACCATGAAGCAAGGGACAACCTCAGGGCCTACACACGGAAACTGAGCTACGACTATGAAAAGAAAATTGCCTTAGAAGTCAAAAAGAACCCTAAACAATTCTGGCAGTACTCTAAATCCAAACTAGATACCCAAGAAACAATCCCTAACTTAGTGATGGAAGATGGAACAGAAACCCAAACAGACCTGGAAAAGGCACAGACACTAAATAACCAATAACCAATGAACCAATAACCAATAACCAATGAACTGAACTTAACTGAACATGTACAATATACCTCAAATGTCACCACACCCAAGTAAAGAAAAGATTAGTGACCTTAAAATAACAAAGGAAATGGTTATGAGCCAGTTAAACAAACTGATTGCTACAAAATCACCAGGACAAGATGGTTTTCATCCCCGTCCCCTTAAGGAGACAGCAGAATCACTGGTAATCCCACTCCTTATCTTATTTAACAAGTCTATACAAACTAGCTCACTCCCCAGAGACTGGAAAACTGCAGACATCACCCCCATTTTCAAAAAAGGAAGTGAAAATTTTTTAAAGAATGTTACCAACAGGAAGAAACAACCCAGCAACTACAGACCAATAAGCTTCACATCAATAGTTGTCAAAATGTTGGAGAAAATTGTAAGGGATGAAATTCTGGAACACCTCATCAAAAATAATCTCCTCACAGATGAACAGTTTGGTTTTGTGCCAAAGAGATCGACAGTGCTAAATCTCTAAATTTAGAAAATATAACTCAAGATATTGATGAAGGGACCCCTATAGACACCATATATACTGATTTTAGTAAAGCGTTCGATAGTGTGCCTCACGAGCGACTACTGGTAAAACTACAATCCTACGGAATAACAGGAAAATTACTAGCCTGGACGAGGTCTTTCCTTACAAACAGGGCACAGAGAGTTTCGGTAAATGGTAAAGTATCAGAGTGGGCCCCTGTAACCTCTGGTATACCTCAGGGAATTTGCCTCGGGCCGACCCTGTTTGCTGCCTTCATCAACGATTTACCTGAAGCAACAAAGAACGAGATACTCATGTACGCTGACGATGCAAAACTTTACGGCAAAGTTAAAACCGAAGAAGACAAAAGAACACTACAAAAGGATCTGGATAATATGTCTAAGTGGTCAAATAAATGGCAGTTGCCTTTTAATACCGCTAAATGCAAAGTAATGCACCTTGGACATGGAAATGATCAACATAAATATACCATGAATGACCAGATCTTGGATATCACCAAAACTGAAAAGGACCTTGGAGTCAATATCGACAATAATCTCAAGTTCCACCAACACGTTGACCTATCAGTCTCTAAAGCTAATAGCATCCTTGGAATAATAAAAAGAACTTTCTCCCATCTGGACAAAACAATCCTCCCTCTTCTCTACAAATCACTTGTAAGAACCCACTTGGAATACGCAAACAGCGTATGGAATCCCCACCACAACATGGATATTGACAAGCTAGAAAAGGTCCAAAGACGAGCGACAAAACTTGTACCAGAAATTAAGGACATGAATTATGGGGATAGGCTAAGATACCTGAAGCTACCAT